GCGTCGAAGTAGAGCAATCGGTATGGGAACTACATAAATTTACAAAATTTGTAGCTTGGAGCCGATATATTTAGTTATATGATACCCCCAAGAGTAATGTTAGGATTTATCAAATTATGTGCAGTACTTTTTATGGAGTAAGACATAAACGAATAAGGAAGAATATCGTACTGTATCAATCGATCAAATGTATATAAATATAGTTATTTTTATACTTTTTGTCAGGTAGCAAACCTGTAAGTGTATTTTCTAAGTGCTTCTAATTTCACTTATTTTTTTTATCAAATGTAAATAAATAAATAGTTTTTTCGTTATTGTAGGCGATAAGCATACGCTAAAATATATTAAGTATGTAGTAGAAATCAATACATTAGAATATGATTGAATAATTCTAGACATTGCAGATTAAGTAATATATCCAATGTTACTTTATCTGTGCAAGTAATAACTCCAGCATTGTCTAGAATTAGTAAAGATTACAGCGGGTTGATTTACACGTTACGTATTTTTTATTGTTTATAGATACCTCTGTTAACGCACAATAAACACAGGCAATAAAAGTTCATCAATGAATTAATGGTTCTTTACGACTTGATGAGTAAAGTAGTAAACATGGTGTTTTATTCCACGAATAATCAGACGAACGCCCGTTTAATGCGATTAATATAATAAAACCGAAAGAGTGCGGAGTGGTCCAGCAACGGAACGGGGTAGGGCCTTCGGCGCGGCCCGCATCGGGTGGTAGCGGCCGGCCGCGGGCGGCCCGTGACGTCGGCGGGGCGACGCGAGTGACGTCACGCGCACGTGGGCGCGCGCGACTGGGACGGCAACAGCCGCGGCGCACGGGAGCGACAGAGCCCACCCGCCGCCGCAGAGGGCGCGCGCGAATTGACAGATTTCCACGCGCTCGATACGATCTTGAATTACATTATCAGGCGGCGCCGAACCGGGTTAAATGCCGTATCCGTAGCCATTGTCTAAAACGTCGACTTTTAAAGAAACATTTTTACCACACAATTGTCTCTTTACGGAATGGGCGCATAATCGTCCGAACTGCTCCATAACCGCTGTAACCGGTTCTGTGGAACGACGCAACCCGTTCGTTTCTAGAAGCTGCTCGTCATGCCTCGTACGGGTTTAGTGCACATCGGAGAATGTGCATGGTGCATGCGGCTAACCTCGCCGCCTTTGGTAGCATTGTAAATACTTGTAAACAAAGCGAGCGATGAATTTACCGCGACGTTGCCGTCGCGCCGCGCCGGCCTTTGCATGCATGTATCTACTATCGGCTGTGTTTACTCTACGCCCGCCAAATTTTTCAACCCTGCGGAAATCGTAGATGTCATTGTTCTATGGATGATCTACTTCATTGACAACAATAACCGTACCGCATGGTTTACGAGAAATAAATTATTTAGATCATATCTATGTGGGCCATAATATATACCATAGTGCGGCTCACGGATTGTTACGACGACTAATGTTTGTTGATATCATGAAAAGACGGTATCGAAGTAATCGATTTCCTTAAGCCCCTTTGCTATTGTAATCATAAAAAAAATGTATGCCTTATTTGGAATATTTGCTAGGTCTTCATTCTTCGAACAATTAAAAACCGATCATTATTGTTTTTATGAAAGAACGGTTAACAAATCTAAACAATATATTTATAAATTTAACTTTTTTTACTTCCATTTTTCACTCAAATCAACGCTTCTTGCAACTCTTCCGGCAACATATATGTAATATGAGAATACTATTATCACACATCATGACATTTATATTATCGTCATAAAACTCCTATTGAAATTACTGGCAGATTGTCAAAGTCAAGATCATGAACTAATGTTGTCAATGATAACAATCTCACTTATTTGTACCGTGAAGTATCAATACTTCATTGCTTCTAATCAAAAGAAGCCAGTGCAATCACTGGCACGAGAAGCTTGTATTTTTGTTAGAACCTCAGTAGGTTGCAAGTTTTATGTGTTGAAATGCAATAATATAGGCATATTTCCTTCTATTCGTCTCGTTATGTCATCGATGTTATAAATTGCGACTCCACAGATATTCAACTTTAAGATGTTTTTATCTCGTTATGCATTACGTAGCGTGTCGTTATCGCAGCCTTATCTCAGACATTAACCATTAGCGTCGCGGCTTCCAAACAAACATTCCGATGGCAACAATAGTGATAATCGCGAGGCGATTACGTTCGCATCAGGACGGGGGCAGCGGCGCGGCGGCGCGCGTCGTCGCCCGCTATCGATCCCGGCGCAAGGTGGTGCCAACCGTCACACCACCCGCAAAATATGCGACCTTGAACCTTAAACTATACTCATTAATGCAACGAAGAAATGCATTGGCCTTGTCGACTAACCCTTGCAATCATAATTCTTCAGATTTATAAATTCTTACCGAACTAACTACCAAGTTTAAGACCTCTCGACCCATGGTAAAGCTTACAAAATACTAAAAACCAGCGCGATGTTTGAATATTTTCATCTCACTGCGAAATCGCGTAATCGTTCCGACCCCGCAATTCGACTCGCACAATTAAACGCATGAGAATGCTATCCGCATTTCATCCATTACGTCTTCAAAATTGGCGGCAGCAGTGCTTATGGTTGATGGCCCGTCGATCGACTTAAATCCTTTAGCAGACTCGATCACGATAACGCAGTAGTGCGGGTTAAATCGTGACTTGTTCCGGTACTCGAGTATATCGGTATTGGAATACAGTAAGCGGACCGTTCATTTCGTTAACGGCCTTGGGGTGTGGTGGTGGTGTTGAACTGACAGTCTCAACAATTGCATTCAATAGTTACGCTCGATCATCACATGTGGTCAATTCATGCATAACGATAGTAGATTCTAACATTATATTGTGTCAAGACCTTAATTTATATGATTCCTTAACTTGAGATTGTAATAAAATAGATTCAGTGCAGATACCAAAGCAATATGCTCTAAATGCAATTAAGACAACTGACGAAAACGGCTTTACATGTTTTAAAATGTCATATAATATGTTTATGAAAGACAAATACGTATTACAATAGCTTAGGAGTTTAATCCAAGTTTATTCCAAAGGCCTTACTTTCTACCTTCCCTCTGTTTTCTAATTTTTATACTAAATAGTTCATACAAATTTCGACTTCCAATTTTCTTTGAAAATATCTTTCAATACATTCTATGACAATATTGATCGTACATGATGGGTTTTCGATCAAGTTAACTAATCAAACTGCATTTGAGCAACAATTTCGGAATTCCGCTATATCGATATCATACCGTATATATCGACATGACTCCGAACGGCTGTATTGTCAATGATGTGCCTCGCCCTTCGTATGGCTACTCCTTGTAATTGACCGATCCAACAATTCCCGCTCGTTTAGTTCGATCAGGTGTCAGGTTACTTTGGCCTCCAGCTCTTCACAAATGTAGACGTCCTTGGTTGCTTGCAATTTTTAAATGTGTAAAATATGCAAACATACGTTACATACATCCTGTTAATTTCTAGCACAGTACGCCACACATGTTGTCTTACGTCAAATCAAACGCGTGTCTCAATCAACCGTCAGTACGTGATCTTCGCTTGATTAACTAATGCTTAATAATCGATTTCGTCATTATCTCTTAATATATGCAAAATTGTAGCGGTAGAAATTCATAATAAGTTAACGGTCAAATAAAGAGCTTATATATGTTGACTTGTGCTAGATACTGGAAAAACTAGTTCATTTGCGGCGGACGGGAGATGGCACGCGCACACCTGGAACACGAATGTCAAGGCTGCTCACTTGGAAGCGCTCCAGCGTGATGTGCTGGCTAATAGGTGCAAGCGCAAAAAATATCTATATATCACATTGTAATGGGCTCGATGGTCGATATGATAACATTATCTCTCTCGACACAAGGCATCACGCCTGATTTGTTATTATTCGGGTTTATTTATTGTCTACCTATCTGATAACGTTTTCTGTCATCTTCAGATTTTTTTATATTACCACCTGTGTGCCTAATTTTCATATGAGTTGTGTTAATCTCGAACTTACGGTAGGGTTTACAAAGAAATTTCAATGTCAATTATTAGCGGCCGCTAAACACTATTTCGCATGTGTGTTGTGCGCGGCGCGAGCGACAAACACAAGCACGTGCGCCGCGAGCCATCGCGTGACGTCACACGGGTCGCCCCCGCCCCGCCCTCTAGTTAGACAAGGACAGCGATATTCCGGAGCGTCAACGTCGCGCGCGCCGTTTGTTTTCGCATGTATCGCCGGTGATAGGCAGGGTTTATCTTCCGATTGCGAATGCAACAACAGCTATTTCCAGTGATGTCTACTTGCACTGTAACATGCCATTTTATTGTCTCTATCAACGTTGCACCGGGGACTGTAAATAGTGTTCCGACCTTGGCAGTCAGAGATTGAAATGTGTCATATTCTACTCTGTTGTCAAGGTAATCAGACTACGGAACTATTTTAATACAGTTGACGGTGGCATCGTTTAATTAATCAATTTCAGGTAAATTTAGTATTTTCTACAGTAGACTCTTATATTTTTTACAGTATGCATATTTAACGACAAGTATAATAAGAGTTCCCAATAAATGTTAATTAGACTAATATGCAGTAGAAATAGTCTATAATCTTAAATCTATATTAATTAATAAATAAATCATCATTGCCTTGCCTTTATCCCATTATTTAGGGTCGGCGCAGTATGTCTTCCACTGATCTCTATCGGCCGTCATATCTAAGCTATGAGATACTGAAATAAATAAATATATATGTTAAGTGATTAAAACTTGCTAATTATTATTAATCTACGCGATTAAATTATTTTTATTTTTGAATTTATTTTACAATATTTAATATTATAAATAACTTTGTCTGTTTCACACATAGTGCAGTTTAGTTGAAACATATAAAGGGAAATGTAAGTTGCATACAATGATTAAATCAATACTTACATTACTTTTTTATTATTTACAGAAGGCGATCAAGGCTCCTGGGACAGTGGACTCTCCTACGAGTGCCGTTCGTTGCTCTTCAAAGCACTTCACAACCTCATAGAAAGGTAAATGTGATTAATTTCTAGATTATTCCCTGTGATTCCACCTTTGTCCTCCGATAGATCCTCTTAACCGATTACAAACACCAGCTTTGCACTCAGACTAAAGTCGTATCCGTCAGGCAATAGGTAGCCTTAAGCCATGCCATAATATGGACGAATCCTCCCACGGATTTAGAGTGTTCTATCCACTCGATCCCCATATTCGTCTGGTGAACTGTAGAAGCCCCCCTGCAGCCAACACAACAAGCAACACCATTACAATAATTTAAAAAAAACTAATCTAATTGAATTCCTGCAAAATGTTTAATACAATTAAACATTTTCATTTGAGAATATAAAAATAAACGTTTTCCAAAATTTTATTTGGACTACTTAAAACATATGTATTATGTCTAAGTAATTAAATTATAATCCAATGAAATCAAAATTAAAATAGCTTTTTTCATGTAGGTTCATTACAAAATCTTGTGATATGTCTAATCTACCGTCAGTGCGGAATGCTTTTGAGCTAAGTAGAACTGACAAGAAACTCAGCTCTTATTATTTTCAAATAAGCTTGTATGTTATACATGTTTCATAGATTAAATAAATTAATGAAAATGTATTGACGCATATTGCAGTTTGTCAAAAGAATAATTTTACCAGTCCCTGCAAGCAGCAATAATGATAATTTACTATAACGAGAAATGTATAAGTTTATATTGCATACCGTAACAATAACTAGCTGGAAACAAATAGCCCTATTCTTGTTGAGGCCGTAAATAAATCGCTAACGCTATTTGACCGACGACACGATTTGTCGCCGACGAGCGTCGAAGCGCAGCCGCGCGTTTCGACGTGCTTCAAACGGCTAGTTTAATTAATGTGGTCATTTTTGCTTTCAATATTTTATTTAAAGTGTTATCACTTAGTCTTTTATTGACTACAATATGTTAGACGAATTTTTTGTTATGTTTTTCTCTGTGCATCCGCCAGCGCTAACGGTTTACGCTGGTGGGGCACCAGTGGACAATGATAAGATGAGCATGAGGTCAGTTAGCCCATTGTGGTATATTCACCAAGAATTTATTACGATGGTTTTCAGGGTGAACCAAGTGGATGTCAACCCGACATGGTACAATGCTAGATTTAGTAATGTAGAGTTATTAGCCCACATTACTAAATCTAAATATTTAAATAGCCGATTTCTAAATCTAAATTAGTACTAGATATTTTTAGAACAGGTAAAAATATCTAGTACTAATTAACAAAATAAACACAGTAAACTAAATAACAGTGGAAAAAAATAGCCATCTGCTATTCTTAATGAATTAATTAATCTAATTTAAACCCCTTATAAAAATATCTTGTAATTGTACTATTAATAGACCCCATATTAGAACTTACTTTTAGCTTAAGTTATATTTGATAACAAATACTCAACTCAAAACTAAACAAAATAAATTATACAGTTTTAAGTTTCTTTCACGGTTGTTTATGTATGTATGAATAATCTTATCATGTTTACAAAAATAAACTTACCATTTATTACTATACTGATGAATTTAAAAGTGTCATCGTCAGTAATGCTATAACATACAATTACAATCCCTACGTAAATGCGTCATCGTGCATCATCCATGGCATAACCGCACAAGGAGACTTCAATGTTATATTTAAGTTCTTTGTTGTTATTATTTGTAAAGTCGCTTTTAAATATACCTATGTAAGTAGCTAGTTATCACTAACTTACGGTACGGCATTCATTATTGACTATTTGATACGTTTAAATAAATACCGATGCTACTTTTCGTGTACTGACGATCACCAACTGTGTGACAGTACACGAATATATACTAAGTTATTATATTAAGAAAAAAAGACATTCAATCAACCAATGTCAACAAATTTTTTTTTAATATATCTGAAATGGCTATGAAGGTACAATACCTGGTAGTGATACATGATCAGAACAAGTCATGCTTTGCCGTAAGCGGGAATAAAATGTCATGCCTCTTTACTATGTACTTCAATCGATATAGACGGTTGAAAAAAGTGAGACAGAGCAAACAGACTAAAGACACAAACGACTTCGTACAAAGTTTACCACAGTAATAATGAGTAATATGAGCAAAACCTATTACTCTGTTAGACATAGACACCTATATAAATATATATTGTTAATAAATTGGCTTTTAAAAAAAAAGTAATTCAATTGAGTTTCTTGCCAGTTCTTAATTGGATCTATATATAGATGGGATCTATAATTAGAAAACATTATGATATAAAAATAAATTACGTTAATAAGCGGCTAAAATGCCCTACTTGAAGCAATTATATTTGAATTTGAATACTAAAGTTAGGATATGTCGACAATACAATTCGCATTTTGTTATCCACCACTGTTGAATCGGCAACTGTACCAGATCCGGGCGTAGGATCGCACCTGGCAAGTGCGCAGGCGCATCGCCCGTCGTCAATGTAACGCGAAGGTCGTTGCATCGAGACGTGCGCCGCGCCGCACCGCACCGGACCGGCCGCTAATGTCGTTTTTTGCGCATCTCACGGGTATCTCTGTTCGGGCCTCGGGCGATGGTGATGTTCGTGTGAACACAAATCGACTAGTTATCCTACCGCGCTCGATTCTTCAAATTTTTTTGCCCAATTACCTTTATTTCACCTTCATATATTTACTGGCTGTGGCTCATGGTTTTACCCCCCACCAATAGTTTCGCTGATTATTATTTTTGGCATATCGGCAATTATGATTACTTTTTCTGTTTGATCAGCTTCTAAACGTAGTAAGCGTGATTTTATAATTATTACAATCTTCCTTAACTATTGTAGTATAAAATGCAAAATATATGTTTCAAGAGTAGACTGTTCCAGAGTTTAACCGGACAAAATTACTCCTCACCTTTAGTGTAAATATAGAGTAATGCCCATTTCAAATATGAGTGTCATCACCTATTTTAGAGCGTCGCGTCATACATCAAAACCACTATCCAATCCGAGGTTATCTATCCTATTCTTACCTGAACCGAATAGTTGTCGAACAGGACTAGTTCGGATGACGCCCCGTGTCCGTATCTCACCTACATAAGAGTTATAAAAGGCTACAAGTGTAACCGTCCCGCCTAACTTACTACATAGTCTCGAGAATCTCGGATATGAACGAAATCCGAACGAGTCGTTGACCCCGCGGCGGCACGTCAAAGTAACAATGCGCCGGCCGGGACGAGATCGCGACGATTTTACGATGCACACACTCGTATTAAATGAATGTGTGTCCTTTTGTTTTTTGTGCTTTCAACGAGATCGCTCCTTTGCGGCTGTTATGCCAATGATATAGGTATTTATACGTTCGGTGATGCTAAAAACCGTCGGTTGCATATTTAGTCACGGAGGGTATTGTAATTTTATCAGTATTCGTCGACGAAGACTCATTGGAAGGTATTATTCATTAATTTTAATAGTTAGTTAAATAATTTTATTTAACTTTTCAATGTTACTCAAAATTGAATTTAATAATTACTTAAAAAAAGAATCGAAAATAAAGAAAAATGTTAAGTCCAGTCACTAAGAAATTTACTACTGATATTTCTGAATATTATAATGGAGGTCAAAAGTGTCTTAAGCGGTTCGATAAAAGGGTGATACGGCTTTCCTCAACTTGCCGTGTCTGTAATCGTGCCTTGATTTCATCCAATCAAAATTTTAATTTATCTATGAAGTTCAGAATGGGTACCTCTGGGGTACCTCTACCGATTTTCACAGTCTACCTCTATAGATGTAACATCGTCTGCTTCTTTCCAATCCTATTAAATTGGAGTCCGCGTAATATATTTTTCTCTTCCATTCATCCCTGTACGCAGTCATCTCTTTATTTACTCCCTTTCTTACCATATCATCTTTCACACAGTCCATCCACCTCATTTTCAGGCTTCCTCTGCCTTTATAAACATCAGCATTCATATGTCCTTGCTTAAAATATTATCTTTGTTACATATACCGAGGTATATGTAACAGTGGGTTATAATTCCTTCTCTTTCTGTTTTTACTCCTAACGTTATATGTAGGTAATATATAAACTGTTTACGCTACGATGAATCATAGACTCAGTAGTCACTATCGCCAGTTTAACAGTTAATCTAAATTGTGCATTATTAGTTTGATGAGTCAACGATCAAATATTGGTAAATATATTCAACAGGAATATTTGTTGTATCTAGAGATTATGTGTTGATTTTGTAGTTTGTAACATATCGCAGTCAAACCTGCCAACTAGTCCAAATTGCCCAAAAACGGCAGTACGTACAATCTTACCTGGGACTGGATTTTTCAATTTATGGAACTGTTGATTATACTGAGAACTGAGAATATGTAGAGCACTACATATTCTCAAAATTTGTATTGTCTCTTTATAATCATATCACCCCATATTTATGATATTTGTAAGAATGTTAACAGAGTTATTTTGCACTGTATTTGATTACTCTGTATTGTCTTTATCATGTTTGCATCAAAAACACAGCAAGTCACATATTTAATGGTAGGTACTAAAGCAATAAATTACTGCATTTACAAAAAAAAATACAATCCCAAAGTTTAAAAATTTTGTTAACTGGATTTACATTTTGAATGGGACGTCTGGGAACTGACGTCTTGTCATACAATGTCATAGTTGGTCAACCCCCTCCAATCCCCTTAACGACATAATTTAAGAATGACCCGTAGATTTCATAGTGTGCTGCCATTGCAACGCACCGATATCGTACTGAGTTTAGTTTCGCGCCACGCCGGCCGATGACCCCGCCGAAAGCGCTCCCACCGACCTTAGAGGAAGGTGAAACAATGTTCACCGCCGAATGGCGTAATTTGGCTGTAAAAGTGTAATAAGACGACACTGTGCTCCAGTTTCCTCTTGTTTTTAAGAGAAAGTCGTAACTTATCAGACGATATGAGATGTTTTCATTTCACGTCGTGTATGACTCTTCTTGTTCTGGTTTCATGTAAATAGGTGGTGGTCGGTGGTTTAGTGGTTTAGCACACCGCCTTACTTCCGATGGTCGCGGGTTCGATTCCTCGCACCGCACAAACATTTGTATTCATGAGTATGAACTATATATATGTATATGTTTGTATCGGTCTGGGTATTTTCTATGTATAATATGTATGTTTTTACGAAAAACAAATTATCTATGTATTTGTATCAGATGTCTAGTACCCATAACACAATCTTTATCTAGCTTAACTTGGGTCTAGATGGCGCTGTGTGATTGTCCTGAGATTATTATTTATTATTATTATTATTATTTTGTTAGAACACTTATTGTGCCGACCCCAAATAAATGGGATTTATTTATTTATTTTTAAGGATTACCAACGTAAGGTACGGCAATAAAAATCTGTTATAATTCTATACAATTCTAATGGTTTTAAACTAACTGTTCTCATATTTATAGGTAACCACTATAAGCATGCTGCTTTGAGTTACAAGATAAAAGATTATATCGCTACTATTACTAATATTACATGTCAATAATATTAATTAAATTTGACGGATAATGTAGAAGCAGATGATGATGTTACACTTATAAATCATCTGCTAGTACTAAACTAAGCAGAGCTTGTTCTATAAACACTAACAACCTATAGAACCACATTTGTTTTGTAAATCTATTCATCGTATAAATTGGAAACACCCAAGTTAATGCAAACAGTATGTACTCATACATCCAAAAATATGAATTATGCACGCATTAGCTGAGTCGCGCAACTTCGTCTGTAACACACTTATTTTATTTAATTAATTTCAATAATATCTTTTTAAATTATAGCCTATGTATTATTCTAATGTGTAAACTATAATTTTGTAAAGTTTCATCAAAATTCGTTCCGTAGTTTTTGCGTAAAGGAGTAACATCCATTCATCCATCTATATCCACAAACCTTCATGCTTATAATATTAGTAATATTCTTCTACTTCTACATAATCTAACGGACTCGTCTACATAGGTTTCTAATACCCTGATAGAGGGGGAAAGGGGATGGTAATGTGGGATGATGATCTCATTGCACGCAATATACCATGTCAGGTTGACCTCCACGCGGTTCCCCCTGGAAACCATCGTGATAAATTCTTCGTGAAATTGTCATGAGGCTAACCTGACCTCATACTCGTCTTATCATCTTCCACTGGTGCCCCGCCAGCGTAAACCGTTAGCGCAGGCGAGTGCACCATTCTATAATCACCTATAAAAAAAATTACCCTGATAGATAGATAAACATATCCAACAGCGTTACAAGCGACTCAATATTAATATAACCCAACTACCCAACCGATACATATCCAAATTAATTAGTTCATGGGTTATTTTGGGCGCTGCGTATGCGCTTTGAATTGATATTTACCTTCCCGACTTATACAATGTGATTATGAGAATCAATTAGAGTATACAAGGAAGTATAATATGGTAGTACAGCATATATATGCTGTAATGTGCTATTTCTTAAGCATAAATATGTCGAAGTTATTATTTGGGGCTATTAATAATCTATATATACCTTACAGACTAAAGTATAATATACTAGCTACTCGCCCCGGCTTCGCCCGGGTGTACATGTATTATACATATAAAGCTTCCTCTTGAATCACTCTATCTATTAAAAAAAACCGCTTCAAAATCTTTTGTGGAGTTTTAAAGATTTAAGCATACATAGGGACGGACAGACAGCGACAGCGACTTGGTTTTATACTATGTAATGATATGAAATAAGAATATAAATTGTCTTCGTGATCACGGCACTGACGACGACTAAATGCTATGGTAGCGCGGATACACGACTCCCTTCGGCCAGTAGTCTTCCTTCATTAAGGTGGCTAGTATATTGGAGGGAACTTTCAAACGTTGAAATAGTTATAGAGAAAAGTATGTATTTTTATATTCATACTTAATACTAATCACGCTTTCTATAAGATTGTTGTCCATGAGGCAGTCGTTAAAAGAGTTGCTCATCGAATTAATTTGAATGCCAGTCGTGTTCTAGACGTGGAATTGTAAGGAAGCTAATTGTAATTGGATTGCGTTGACTGACAGGTTTTTAAGAAATATTTAGAATATGTATATCGTGACGTACTTAGCATTGATTGAATGACTGATTAAAAAATGTTCAGTTGTTATTCTTGTCAATTCTTCTAAACTGATGCAGTTAGTACTACTACTAGTACTAGTAGTTACTGGACGGTAGGGGAAAAAATTATAATGTAAAAACTTGACGTTCATAAGCGGCTAAAATGTCCTACATGAATAAATGATTTTTGATTTTGAATTTGAATTTAGCAGTCTAGTAATGGACGGAAATTTTGATAAATTTTTTATTTATATATTTACTTTGAATAGGTAACAGATAGTAGTAGATATTCAGCTACATTTTGAGCATATAAAATTATGAATATATAGGCAAAAGAATGACCGCATATAGTATTAATTATTTTGACTTTGACTTTCGTAGTAACACAATAAGGACAAGTTGTGTCATGAAATAAATGTACACAAAAACAATAATTAGTATTCCCAATGTGTTAACATATTCCGAGGTATGAATTTGTCATTATGACGGTACGGAAAGGGAGACGAGCAATAGGGAAAAAGTCTTAATATAAAAAAAAAATCATTCATAAGCGGCTAAAATGTCGTACATGATAAATAAATGTCACAAATGATTTTTGATGTGAATTATGAAGTAATATATTATCCATATAATTCATAATTTACCAAAGTAAAAAGTCGTCTACGCTGGTTTACCTATTTACTATTCCTGCCGCTAAACAACCCAATACAAACACTCATACTCGTAAATACAAATATTTGTATCGTTGGAGGAATCGAACCTGAAACATTAAGAGTAGGGCCTTGTGCTAAACCACTAAAACATCGAGCGTCTTAGTATTCACTCATACTAAGACGCTGGTGAAGTGGTAAAATAAAAAAGTATTTATTATATTATATATCTATGTATGTATATATTAACTCTGGAGGTACACATTTATCCTCCCAGCTATTACTACAAATAAAGGCATTTTTTTTGTTACAGAACATTCTATTCACTATACGTACCTACATGTTACAATACACTATAGTATATTGTAGTCTCATTAACAATGACATACTATTATAGAAATGTCGCTTGCACAATTAGTTCACTCATACTTAGACGTTACTCATCAGAGTATATGGCCTGCAGGCGATACTTGTAACACATATACTGATATAGTTATGGTATAGTGATCGCTAATGATTATTTCTTACAACACCAACAAATTAATGTAAACACCTGTACATAATATTACTGTTGACTCAGTAACGGTTGGCTGCAAATAATGATTTATTTAACTTTAATTGGCTTTATGTATTTTTATTGTTTCCTTTTTTGTTTATGTAACATAAATGTTAATAAATGGAAAATAATGCACCCTGGGAGGGTATATGTCATCTGAGATACAGTAATTCTATACTAGTTCAAGTGGGACAATTGTATCTTTATGTTTAAATGTATTGAACAACTTAACTATGCAACACAAGCAACCAAAGATTGCAATAAATTTGATCGCCAATAAACAAGGTGGTGACGCTTCCAGTAGTAACGATCAGGTTTCCGCACTGAATATATGTGGTCTCGAAATAATGGTTGCGGCATTAGACAAAACAATATAAATCCATTAAGTAATGAAATAGATTTCCGCAAAACAACACCTAATTCGATAAAATATATACCCATACTTAAGCTACTTTCTTCTCAGCTCGAAAGCACAGCGAACTAATTCACGCTAGATTTGAAATATAGATAATGTTTGATGTAATAGAGTCTGTAATAGACCTACATGAGTAATGATGTTTTGATTTGGATTTAATGTGTATTTATTTAAAAATATGTAAATAGAAGATAAATAGAATTTACGTAATATACCTCTTCCCCATTGTTGATGATTTATTCATATTTGATTCATACGCCAGTAATTATGTTATACCATAAAATAGTTAGTATAATTGTATATTTACATTATTTAACACTGTTATGTTATCCTTATTTTAGGCATTAATATTTATAATTATAATGTCCACTGGCGATAAGCACAAATAAATATTTAAATTTAGTATTTAATGCAATGCTTTTTGGTTTAGTTTTGTAAAGGATGGTTTTGATTTTAATTATTTTCAGTACAGTAGTTAAGCTGAATCTGTTTTCTGAAATTGAATTGATTTTTAATATTAAATAGAAGTCTACAATGTCTTTACTATTTAGACTATGGTGTGTATAGTGTGTTACAAGTATGGTGAACGCAGAGAGTTGCCATATATAAAATTATATTTTTGTTAAATTTTTTATTTTATTTTTATTTTTATTTATTTATTAAAGGAAAACCAAGGCTATTCAAGTACATCTTAAATAAAGTCAATATATATATCACAGTAAGCCACTGACAGGCTTTCACTAATAACAATAGACTAATTCTTAAAAAGTTTTACATCACTGCGTATAAAGGCATTATAAAGTTAACAGAGAATATGAAATTAATTAACAAGAGTACAGTAACAAATAGTAAATTTATAGAAATATATACATATACATGATTTTCAATAATAATTAATTGTTAAATTTAACATAAATGTACAACAAATATAATATTCTTTTTTAAAATTCTTATCATATCTTGGTAATTTTAACACATGCTATAATATATATTTTTTAATTCCAGATGTCTCCTGTCGAGAGATTTTGTGAGGCTGGGCAAGTGGTTCGTGCAACCTTACGACGGCGACGAGGAGGACGTCGGCAAGAGGTATTAACAACAGATTATCAACCTTATACCTACCGCGAATGAATGAGTTTTCAACATATGTTGGTGTCCTGAAAACTTGTTTCAAAGTGAAAGTATAGATATCGGCATTAATTTATTGACACTAAAAAGCTTACATGGCCACAATGTAATTATAATGAGACATGAAATATGACTGGCGATAAATGTAATCTATCATTAATTATTTTTAATAAGTAAAAAGCGGGCCGTTTGTATTAGAGACTAATTGACCCGCTCAACTTCGTCTACATCATATAAGAGAGAGGAAACTCTCAAAAGAGTCTTATTTCTCCATTTTTGCAACATTTTTCATTAATGCATGCACCTTTCATAGTGATCATAGGTGATATTATGTAGCTTATATGCTTATTCGCGAAACATGCTACATATACTAAAAAAATACAATTCTAGCCTGTAGTTTCTGAGATTGTCGCATTCAAGCAAACTAACCAATCACTTCACTGTTTTGATACGGTAGCATAGACGATGAAATGGTGCATCAACCTATACTAACGGAATTCTCCGACTGGGCTCTGGTAGATGATAGGATGAGAATAAAGTCCGCGAGAGACCTGGACATCACCCAATGTAGCATATATTACTGTCAACATGCCAAATTTTTTGAATTTCTTACAATCCCTTGCCCTCAAAGCAGTCTGTTTTCTGTTCGAAACCTTTCAAAATACTCTCTGTTTCGATATCTCTTTGTAAAACTATAGCTCTTAACGAATAGTTTATTGGAGTAAAACTTACTTAACTATTAATGATTTCTTTTAAACTACTACTTGATAGTGTGGATGTATGGAAGAACAATTTGTACAGGCTATATTCAATGAGTCTTGTTCAAACTGAAACTGTGTCACAGCGGTTTATTCTTCCTATATTAAAATGAAGGTATCTGTGTTGTGCTCATTAAGACATTAGAGCGTAACTTCGTTCCCCTTCGAACATAGTTTAAATTTTTCTATTTACTTTATTTTTTATATAGATAAGGTAGTAGGGCCTCCTCCTGCCGCTTTAGATTTAAGTATAACAGCGACGCCTGGGCATGTCAAGTATCTTGTCAACATTTGATAATGCCCCTCTCTACCCCATTTGATGATGATGTGATTTAATACACATTTTATACATACAATTAATAGATCTGGATATAAACTAAATATTCAGTATCCCGTACGTGTTATACGTACACAATACGATAGTACCTACTCCTAATTAATTAATCCAATAACTAAAGACGTATTTAATAATACAGTAAGGTCCCAGAGAGAGCCTGGAGATCTGTAGTATAAGTTTCGACCTAGACAGACTCCAGCCTCTCACAAGCAAAAACATGAAAGTTAAAATAATTTATTTACATTGTAAGATTCCTTGAGCAGAAAAATAAAGATTATTATTATTGTTATTATAATTAATTAATACAATACATGCTCGTGTTCCAGCCCGTGGCACCTGTCGTTCTCGTTCGCGTTCTTCCTGCACGGCGAGAGCACCGTCTGCGCGTCCGTGGACGTCCGACAACATCCGCCTGTCCGCACGCTGACGGCGCGCCGCCGGCAAGCGCTCCATGCTGCTGGCAGGCGTGCTGATGCGAAGGGTAAGCCGCATTTCATTCTACCCACTGTTTTTTTCTGTTTCAAAGACTAAGAAACTTTTCAGACAATTTGCAACCTACTGTAAGATTTTCTTTTGTCTATCTGCGAACAGCTTTTATTATTAGATTTGATTGCTTTCGTTATCTTATATCCTACTATAAGATGAAAAAATTCTAATTTTTTTATTATGAGGAAACTAATAAGATTATTTGATTTAGTTTATTTGAGGAATAGTTGTAAATTCCTATTAAATTCAAATATACTCATAAAAAAGCGTGTAAAGTGTTATTACTGTATCACGACTAAGTTGCATTGTCATTTGAGTATTCTATGTGTTTTCATATTTGTATTACTGATATTAACAGTGATCCTGGCTCCATTCGGACTGGAGGGCACGTTGACGGACCGCGAGTGGACCGACAGTGATCCCGCCACAGCTAGACTATTGGATGCGTGGCGGCAGCTGTACCCGCTCGAGCAGGGTTGTGGAGCAGTAGAGGTGAGACTTGGAAAATTGTTATTGAATATATTGTGTGGTAATAATACGTTGTCGTCGGTTGAGACGATGGATATTATAGATGATAATAGACTGACAAAATGTAATAAAGATATTGATCTTATATACTAAAATAACACTCGTAAAATGTAAGTTGGGGTGACATAGTTTGGATACGGCAGTTCTCAGTAGACAATATTGAGTTTGTCTTACTAGCCATTATTAATTGCAATTATTATATTGACGTATCTAGGTAACCGTGTCCCATATATATATATATATATATTCAAATTAATAAATAAATAAATGTTATATTATGTTTCATATCCGACTCGAAGGACCAGATAGACAGTACAGTTTTTACACGGTATTGTTGTGTTGTAAGTTGTCAGTTTTGTAACCGCGAGTGTTGGTTGTGTGGTGCAGGTGGTGTGCGGCGGCGTGCGGATGCGGTACCCGCTGCCGTACACGCTGGTGACGGAGATGGAGGCCGCGCCCGCGCCGCCGCCCTCCGCCGCCGCCCTCGCGCGCCGCACGCTGCACGCGCTCACCGGGCCCGCGCCCCACCTACTGCAGGTACACACACACACACACACATATCATGCACTATCAACGCACTTTACACCTACAGTCTAACTACGCCCATTCGACGCCTTAGTCCTATACCCTTATGTACTTACTATAAATTACGTCACCACTGTTCCACATATGCGTCGTAAATCATTGTTGTGTATTTTAAAATTGTTATCAATATAATAATTTATTTTTAGGCTTTATACTAGAGATGTGCCGACTTGTCAGCAACTAGTCGGTAAAGCCGACTATCCGGCCACTATTGTAGTCGGCGACTGGTCGACACCGAACCGGCTTTTTACTATTATTGGAATTACATTATACAAAAACCTCGATTATTTATTAATATTTTTATCAATCAGTCTTCCAATTTTGAAACAAAATAAAATTAAATGTTAGTAGTTGGATGTCGGTAATTCTAGTATTCGCTGTTTTTCTCTGCCCACCACGAGAAATTATTATTTGGCATTGGTTACACTTAACATTACGAGAATCGTTGTCTAAATGTTAAAAAAAATATACCTACAAGTACACGTGCCGATACGTCCGCAGGCGGCGTTTGCGACTTAAGCGCGATTCAGTAGTAAACGAAGCGTTACGGAAAACACCGAAAACGTGATCGTCGACTAGTCTGGCGACTAATCGGCTTCTTTGCAACCGCCTAATCGGCTAGTCGGCCAAAGTCATGATCGGCACATCTCTACTATACACACATTAATTCTGTAGCAAAAATGATTAATTTTGCCTTAAATCAAAATTTCGGCTACATAATGAACGACGTAAATTACTTTTTATCTCTATCAATAAAGATCGCGTACGAATGTGCGGACAGTAGGTGGTATAAATGTAGTACTCAATAAAACAATAACTGTAAACATTGGAAGCAGGAAACGGAACTTATATCATTGCTGTATCTGTTCTGAGTGTGCTTCCGATATAAAAAGAATTATTAAAAACTGTCTACCACTATCGAATTTCTTAGTGGCAGCAGTAGTCAGTTCAGCTATTCTAACATTAAAATTTAATTTAGCAATGAATGAATGCACAGTAATGCATGCTATTGTGATGTGACTGATTTAATTGTTAACACCTTTTTAAAACCTTTGAAAACCTGGTATTGGTTCTCTAGAAATACTACTGTTGATTTAATATATTGTATTCTGAGCTGTTGGTTAGGTGCCGGAGAGGTTAAAGAATAATCGTCTGTCGTGGTATGGCCATGTATTGCGTAGGAATGGAGATATCTTGAGGAAGATGTTACATATGAATGTGAATGATTATAAGGGCAAAAGACCCAAAAAGAGATGGATGGACTGTGTGAAAGATGATATGGTAAGAAAGGAAGTAAATAACGAGCGAACAGGGACGAATAGAAGAGAAAAAAATATTACGCCGACCTCAATACATAGGATCAGGAAGAAGCAGATGATGATTCTCAGCTGTTGGTTTTCTAATAAATAAATGAATAACGCTTCAGGGGGAGTCGTTCTGCAACGATTCGAGCGGCGAGAAGCTCGACGACTTCGTGGACCCCACCCGCAAGACGAGCTGCGCCTGCGCAAAGTGAGTGCACGCCACGCATTATGTATACGCTGTTTTATATTCTATACGCAATATTTATACTTACATATGAGACGTATACTCGTGACCCTATCGAACTATACCTTTAATTCTTTCTATACATTATTTGTACTCTTAACCGGGTCTTAATACGAATAGTTTTATGGTAAATAAAGATATTTACCTCTCTCGATGTTACGAGTAGCTCGTGACCACGGCGAGTACATTACGATCTTTATTTACCATAAGATTAAATCCGGTTAACAATGTAAGTAATATATAGTAAACACGAAAGTTTAATATAATAACTCTTTCTAATTATTTTAATTTCGTATTCTTGTATGAGACCTAAATATTCGATAGTGTTATAGTACGTGTCATACTATATATAGTAGATAGGAGCAGTATAATATAGCCGTAGTACAAACGTTGTGTGTCTTGCATTTATAATATATATATATATGTATGGTATTTTTGATAATTTCAATTCTGTAGTTACGAGCTGCATTCGAATGAGCCCTGCGTGTATCACGGTCAACATTGAACCTTATTGTTAAGCCATAAGTCAAATTGGCTGTGATCGGCGCCGTAGACTTAACCGGGTACTGCCGTGTAGATATATAGGTAGATGTTATGTTTGTGAATGTTTTATATAGTGATATATTTATTTTATATATATTATGTAGTTTTAAGCAGTAGAGGGTTACAGCTGCTTTGCCAACGGACGTGTTGACATGTTCGATGGTGTTGCTCTCAGGCGACGAAGGAATCTGTAACAGTACGAGATGTATAACAAATTTTATCAGATTAAATTGATACACAATATAGACTAAGTGGAATAGATTCCTTCGTTACATTACGTCGCGGTCAGGCACTTTTCACACTTTAAACTCTCTTCTACATTGAGCTAGCTTGATTTTGCTTGTTACTGATTCTAGATATATTTTTGTGAAGTATTCAGATTACTTAACACATATAAGTATCTGATTAATTTGAACTATGGAAAGACTTAATTTTGTACTCGCGTGTCTTGCGTACATCCTAATTAGGTGATAGAAAATCTGTCGCTTATGTTTTATACAGTAAACATATCGACACACGATCGAAAAAGAACGGTAACGCAGTGTCCGGACACGTCGGGACGTAAAAGACACGCGCGGCCCGCGGGCGTACGCGGAGGCGGATATGGCGACGAGGAGGACCACTAGCGGTGATAAAGCAGGCGCCGGACATGGCTTCAGATATCGAAACGTCTACACAGTTATAACGCAATTCTATATACAAGTTTGAATAGACATTAGTTTTCCCCGTTGATTCCGTGTCAGTTTTGAGCGCCCGCAGCGCATGAGCCAAATGTATGCGAGGTCCTCGGATGCTATACATCCCAGTACTGAGCGAGTACTGTGACCGCACACGCTCGCGAAGCATGATTAGCGATCACATTATCGGTAGCGCCAAAGTAACGAGCGTCAAAAATCTGTAGAGAGATAGTAAAATGGGAGTGGGAACGTCGGAAGCCGTGTCCGGCGCCGCGGTTAGCGGGCCGAGGGAGAGAGTGAGAAAGTGTGAGAAGCGCGCCGCGCGGTGGGGAGGGGTCGCGGCCGCAGCTAGCGTTGTGTTGGTGCAGGTGGCGGCGGCGGCGCGGCCCGCGGCCCCCGCCCTTCCACCGCCGCGCGCCCCCGGCCGCCGCGCGCCGCCCGCCCTCCGCGCCCCGCCTCCGGGCGCCGCCCCCGCTGTGAGTACTCACCCGCCGCACCCGCCACACCCGCCACACCCGCCACACCCGCCACTCCCGCCACCCGCTCCGATGCTTACACTCTGTTCATGTACGAGCCTCCGGTAGGACCGACCGATGCCTCATCTCATTATACTCACACGCACCGCCGCCAGGTCGCCGCAGGTGAGCTTCAAAATTGTATGCGTAATTGAAAATATAAGTATTCGCCTCGAAGGGACAGAGTTATACATCACATATAAATACGACACTCCGACGAGCCTGGCTACATCGTCATGTCATATCGAGCGATGAATAATAAAATGTCGCTTGGCCTGCATGCTATAGTGCCTACATGAGTTAATATTATGTAATTATTTATAATATAGTAGACATTACATATACTGCATGAAATAATCGAATGTTTATTGTTATATTAATTGCATGCTCTGTACCGTGCATTTCTAATACTTAAAGTTGTGTTTTCCTAGACAATTTATAAATGTAAATTGACTAGAAAAAGAATTGACCACGTAGCATATTGCAATGGGGTCTTTAAACAGTAATAAATTTCTTATTAGCCATAAAGCAGACCAACTGTGATCCGGCTCGAAGGACCAAAAGAAAGCCTTTACTAGTTTTAGTTCTTCGAACCAGAACTACCAAAGAACCGATTTGAATAAGAAGTGGTAAGGTTTATGGCTATAATAAATAGCTATTATAATACCCACAGTGCGCATTCATTTAATTCTTCTAGATGATATAAAAACCTTGTTTTAATATTGTTCTACAATGTTTGTAGTTTTATGGGATGCGAGAAGACATATCACATCTCGGTGTAAACTAAAATTATGACATTTTAGTAACAAATCACTTAACATTCGCCAAAACACAATGGCCTTGCTATAAGTTTGACGACTACTGTTATTTGCGTGAATCACAACTTCATTCTCACTTCATCTAAAGATCACGTACACTAAATATGTAGTGAAACCTGAGCGATGTAAATTTATATTTGTACTCAAAATAATAGTTGCAGCAAACGAATTGACATCTATTTTATGACAAAATTCGTGTTCGATGAGCCTATAATGTAAATGATACATACAATCAAAATATTGTTATTTTATGTAAGTCTTTTACAAATACTAATGATGAGTCAAAACTACCGATGTTAATTCCGTAATAACTGTTCGCTAGTCACGTCCCTCATTTTTCACTCATATTATGTGCGTTCGAGAGTGTTTATATCGTAATATAGACATTTTTTTAATAAAATAATACTACTTCTATATGAATGAGCCGCCAAAATTCTGTAATAATTAAATAAAGGGTCTATAGCACTGTGTTCAAATTAAAAATATAGTTTGCAAGTAAATGACTAAATAGTTAAAACATTTTTTACATGTAGCAGACATGTAAAAAATGTTTTAACTATTTAGTCATTTACTTGCAAATGATTTAATTAATGTTTATAATTAATTGATGTATTAAAAAAAAGTGATTTGTAAGAAATAAGGTCAACTTTAGTGGTTGATTTATTTCTAAATGTTAACTTTAAAATGGACGATTCCTTTTAAATAATTGTCTTTAAATGTTTTATATCCTGTTGTTTTATTTCTTTATTGACAGTGACCATTGTTTTCTAGTGATTTACAATATAAACACTCTTTAATATTTACAAATTAATAAACAAGTAACATTTAATCAATTTGTTTCAATGTGTCGTCTTCAAATCACTCGCATATCATATCTTCTTATACCGTGGCGAAGATATCTGTGCGTCGGCGCAGACGGATGCTTCGTTCTCATTCGCACATTTGTAAAGTCTGATCACCTATAATTTTTATATTTGTTTTTATTTTCCTGTGATATAATAACATCGGAGCAATGTTCACGAAACATAATAACATCTACCTTTCATCTCAAGGCTCTAACTCGCTCGATTCATATTGATTAGATAAATCATCTGGGTTCATCAGGATTTTTGTCACTGTCCTTTATAAAAGGTTGTAATCAAAAGTGTATCACATTAAAATATCAAGGTGAATAGTTTTTATGAAATTTTACGTTGTGTGTGTAAGTTTGAACACTAGCTCACTCTGGAAATTGGTGACATAAAAATATGAACGAACATTAAGAACATCGTTGTCTATGGAGGTTATTTCTGAGTAATATTCAAATATTATATGCATACTGCGCCCACAACAGTTCGTTTAATTCGTCATCACTTCAGGTTCGTCTTCTCCCACGTTGGATTAAAATATACTAGCGAATATTACGTTAACCTCGTCGTAGAAAGTTGATGATGCTTCTGACTAACCCATCCAGTATATAAAAAAAATTAAAGGACTAAATAGAACGGACGTCGCAAGGGAGCAGACTATGCACAATTGATAAAAGCGACAAATGGTTTGATAGTTCAACAAACACATGATAGAGATGTAGTCAAATTCATGAGAGAAAAATTACGTTTTTTATAAATTACTGAACTATGGACTCGACAAAATTCGACCGTCCAATATTCGTTCACTCTCCATAGACTTGCAAGTTTCCAGAGTAAGAAGCTAGTGTAAAACTTCCATGAGGGCGGATTGAGACAGCGGTGTGGATCGTTTTCTCAGAGCGGGGTGCGCGGGCAGCTCGCCGGGCAGCTGCGGCGGAGCCTCGCCCGCGGCGGCCGTGTCGGCGCCCTCCTCGGCCGGCGCGCAGCCGCCCTCGCCGCACCACACGCCGCACCACACGCCGCTGCCCGCCCAGGTACGCACCACACGACACGCGACACGAGACACGCGACACGCGGCGGCCGTGTCGGCGCCCTCCTCGGCCGGCGCGCAGCCGCCCTCGCCGCACCACACGCCGCACCACACGCCGCTGCCCGCCCAGGTACGCACCACACGACACGCGACACGAGACACGCGACACGCGGCGGCCGTGTCGGCGCCCTCCTCGGCCGGCGCGCAGCCGCCCTCGCCGCACCACACGCCGCACCACACGCCGCTGCCCGCCCAGGTACGCACCACACGACACGCGACACGAGACACGCGACACGCGGCGGCCGTGTCGGCGCCCTCCTCGGCCGGCGCGCAGCCGCCCTCGCCGCACCACACGCCGCACCACACGCCGCTGCCCGCCCAGGTACGCACCACACGACACGCGACACGAGACACGCGACACGCGGCGGCCGTGTCGGCGCCCTCCTCGGCCGGCGCGCAGCCGCCCTCGCCGCACCACACGCCGCACCACACGCCGCTGCCCGCCCAGGTACGCACCACACGACACGCGACACGAGACACGCGACACGCGGCGGCCGTGTCGGCGCCCTCCTCGGCCGGCGCGCAGCCGCCCTCGCCGCACCACACGCCGCACCACACGCCGCTGCCCGCCCAGGTACGCACCACACGACACGCGACACGAGACACGCGACACGCGGCGGCCGTGTCGGCGCCCTCCTCGGCCGGCGCGCAGCCGCCCTCGCCGCACCACACGCCGCACCACACGCCGCTGCCCGCCCAGGTACGCACCACACGACACGATACGCGTCCCGGATCTATCGTGTGACAGAGAAGAAATACCCCAGCAGCTCCCGGAACTTGTGACCAGTTGGCTAATAGCGTTCGTAATACGAAATCGCCAGGCAGTTTAATTTAAGCGTACTGCCTGGGAATAAAACTTCGTAGTACGCCCGCAGGTGTAGGTTTAAAATATTGAACGCTTCTCAATATTGCGTATGACCCTTGCACAGTAATGATTCTAATTACGGAACTCTAATAGTAATTACAGTGAAGTAAGTACAATGTAGTATTACGTACAGCGAGGATTCGACTATTAGTACGCAGTGTATGGATATGTATTGAATATTTGCTCTGGTAGCGGTATATTATATAAGTATTAGAACGCAGTGTGGTCTGTGTCCGCAGGGCAACCCGGGAGGCGGCGTGCCCGCGTCGCTGCACACGCCCGCGCCGACGCCCGACCCGCTGGCGCCGCCCACGCCCGCGCCGCCCTCCGCCCCCGCCAAGAACTACGCGCAGGTCACTATCATGCATAGTCATGTTTTGTCGCTTTAATCCTGTACCTACTGTACTGTACTGTACTTTTTAATTTTTCAATAGCGAAACTATTTCGGTATATGAAAGTAATTTAAATGATTTTTTTTTTAATAATCTGTCTCAATAGTCCATTCCAGTAAAACGACCAACGCCACCGAAACTGCAATGGTTTAGACTGCTATTTCGTCTATCTTCTTTTTGTGTTACTTCCCTAGTCGGCTCTAACATCATCTTACAGATGAAAATGAAATATTGTATTTGTACTTCATTACCACACAGAGATTCTGTATACCAAATTTGTAGAAAATATGATGTGAACATAGTGTGTATGACATGTGATGTTTTAACTAATGTTGTTTTGTGTACGCAGGGCGACTCCCCACCGAGCGGCGCGGAGCGGGGCGGCGGCGCGGCGGCGGGGGAGGGCGCGGGGGGCTGCCCCGCGCGCCGCCCGCACCTGCCGCCCGCCGAGCGCCGCGCGGACCCCCTCGAGGACGAGCACGCGCTCCACATGCTCTACGACTACACCACCGTCTACGCCTGGTCAGTATCCGTATCCGTCCCCCGGCACGTAAACGGGACACCACTCTGACTATAACTTGTACAATGAGCGAAAACCCCGACTAAAATCGTCGTCTACGGAAAGGAGTGTCGACTTCATAGACGCCTCCCAAATACCACCAACTTCACTTGCAGTTAAAGCTGTCGTTAAAATATTTACTCTGAGACTGTGTAGTGTCCTGTAGTTCTTAATTTTTGAAAGAATGTTACGTTAAACATGCGAGTATTATAAACGGCCATGTTTATTGTAAGATAAATGAAATGTGAATCTATGACTCGCAATAGTATTTGCCTGTTAGCGCAACAGCGTCGTTGTAGCATACGACTGTTGTGTTCGTAATAAGGCCACATTTGATTTCTTACTATGTCATATGTGTATCAGATACGTAATAATAAACGTAGTATCTCCTTGGGAAAGTTTACACTCTATCCTGAGAAGATAATAAAAACCATCGCTTCTAAGAATATTCTGCAATTCTTGTCCCTGACTGGTCTAGGTACAAGAGTATCTATATAGGTCACAGTGCTACAGGTTCAAGCACTAGCAAGCAATCCTCCAATAAAAAAAATATAATATTTCTAGGGAAGAAAATGGGATGTTATTCTATATCTGTGTTGATAGTGGCCACTGACAATATACCAGTAAAGTATGAAAGAACAAGAATGACATTAAGTGAGCGAATTTGCCAAGAATGACCACTGTGGTTCCTAAAGGAACCATTTAACTAAACCTCCTCTATTTTTCGTACACAGGCTGGAGCACCCTGTAAAGCGGTTTAAGAGCGAGGAGAACACGTTCCGCGAGGAGTTGGCGCTGGGCGCGGCGTCGGGCGGCGACCTGTACGCCGGCCACCACCACACCACCATGCCGGCCATGCCCGACCACGCGCCGCTCGACATCAAGCATGAGAAGCCCGACCCGGTTAGTACGCCGACGTACTATGTCAATTCTAGACTTGTTACTCCTGCATAAGTCTGCTTTCCTGGTACTTTGTGCTGATAATTAGTACTGGGACTTAAATTAAAAACAACAAATCGCCGTACTTATGTATATTGTAGCCGAAATACTCTTACATAGATTAGCTGTCCTTGTACTTCTTGCTGCCAATTACCACTGCGTATTAAAATAATAACAACAAACCGCCGGCCATACTATGTACATTGTAGCCGTAATACTCTTGCATAGATCTGCTTTCCTGGTACTTCTTGCTGTCTATTAGCTGTTCTATTTAAATTAACAACAACAAATACAAATACTTTCTACTTGACATACTGCTTTGTGAAAACGATTTTGTTATTGTACACAAAAAAATGTACATTTATAATTATAATATTGTAACACTTTAAAAAGTTATTGTTGATTTTTTTAAGAACCTTTAATAAAATCTTTAATCTTAACTAAATTGATATATCTTTTAACTAATAGTTGGATTTTTTGTTGAGTGAAACTTTACTTTAATTTCACAAAGAGTTTATTATTTATTCTACATTTATGCACATATTAATGTCTTTATTTTCTATAAAATTCAGGAGGACGGAAAAGAGTACAAAAACCTATTCACATCGGATGGTTTGTGCCCAACGCTACGAGACCTGGATCAAATATTTGAGAACTCAGATGATGCGGCCAGTGGCGATGAGACGGTAAGACTTGTGAGTGTACACCCTTTACATACTTTATAAAAACTAGACATAAATGTAACTAAAGTGTGGTTGTATATTAACTAAGTTTGAACAGACATTTGCATGGGCATTGTAGTGAGTTCAACCAATATTTTTTTAAGTATCGATACTTGTTATTAATTTTATAAATATCAGTAATCAAAATTTATGTAAAAAACAAGACTAACATACCTCAATTTCAGCTATGGTAACATTTCATAAAATTTTATTAGCTTTTTATGTAGCTGGAATGGCAGACTGACTCTCCCAGTGGATATTTTAACTAATTAAAATTTAATTGGACACTACATTCCTTTTACAATTAAATTAGCAAAAAAGTTAAGGTCTGTGAAGGGTGGCGGTTGATGTTGGTGTTTATTGTTCAGCTGCAAGTACAAACCCCGCCGGACTCCAACAAGTCTGTGGAGGAGTCGCGGTACGTGGGGCGCAGCGTGCGCGCGGAGGAGCTCAGCAAGATGTTCCCGACGCCGCCCAGCATGGAGGCGCACCCGCAGCCGTCGCCCGGGTTCTCGCTGCCCGAGGACGCGCCGCCGCCGCTGCTGCACGCGCACCTGCACGCGCACCTGCACCCGCACGCGGCGCTGCTCGCGCACGCGCCCCACGCGCGCCTCGCGCTGCCCGGCTCGCCGCCGCCCGACCCCATAGAGGTACTGCTCGCTGCTCACTGTACACCTGCACCCGCACGCGGCGCTGCTCGCGCACGCGCCCCACGCGCGCCTCGCGCTGCCCGGCTCGCCGCCGCCCGACCCCATAGAGGTACTGCTCGCTGCTCACTGTACACCTGCACCCGCACGCGGCGCTGCTCGCGCACGCGCCCCATATGGGGTCCATAGAGACTCACTCAGACTCAAGGAAAGGCGTAGAACGAGAATTCTTCGTTACCGTGGGTACTTTCATATCCCTACGGCTTAATATACCCTTCGGCCCCTTTCGAGTAATTATGACATTTATTGAAAACTGTCCTTAATAGATTAGTTTCTGTCTATAAATAACACCCACCCTCCACCCCTTAAATTGTATGTACTTTTAAAAGATTACAAATTGCATCTTGCTGTATTATAAATCTGTAACATCAAGATTACGCTATGAGTCGTAAATATGTAGTTTACTATATCGAAATGATGTGTACGCAGGACTGGTCGTACGTGTTCAAGCCACCGACGATGTATAAGTGTGTGGGGTCGTCGAAGTACGCGCCGCTGGCGACGCTGCCGAGCCAGCAGCTGCCGGCGGTGGCGCTGCCGCCCGACGCCGTGTACCGCCCGCGCTGGCAGCTCGAGCCAGCAAAACGATCCCACGACCAGCCCTCCGCCACACCGACCACCACTACCACCACTGCCACCGTTGCCACCACCGGCACCGCCACGTCCGACCACCGGACAGGTTTGTACTCGCAACTTAATATTTGTATACAATCGAGTCAGCAAAGTGCGCGATTCATCTGTTAATATACGTGGTCTCTACCTGTCGGTTGAAATACGAAAGGTTGCCTTGAAAACATTGTTTTGAACAATAAAGCTGACTTATTGTAATTATTATATATTGTTTGTCTTCATCCATCTACTATTACACAATAAAAGTTGTGCAGTTATTGTTAATATTAGTAGTATCTATACAAATAAATGATATGACTATTCAAAAGTTGACCTTCCTTGTCACACAACTGTGTTATATGTATATTTAATTAAATTAATATTATAATTAAATTTAGTATCCAACTTTAGTTGTAACAAAGTATGCTACGGTTAACTGTAAATTAAAAACAGTTATTTGTAAAATCGTTAGAAAAGCACGAAATATTGTATTGGCTGTACCTTATGTTAGTGATCGTAATAAATAAATGTGCTTGTCGTAGCGGGCGTGAAACGGAGCGCCTCCCCCGTGGTGGAGTCGCGGGAGGCCCGCGCGCGGCGGGCGGGCCCGGGCGGGGGCGGGGGCGGGGGCGCGGCCGTGGGTGCGGGCGGGGGCGGCGGGGGCGGCGCGGAGGGCGGGGCGGGCCCCCTGGCGGCGCGGTCCCCGGCGCGGTCGCCGCCGTCGCCGCGCGCCGCGCTCGCCGCGTGCCCGCTGCTGCTGAACGTGCTGCTGGCGGACACCGTGCTCAACGTGTTCCGCGACCACAACTTCGACAGCTGCACGCTGTGCGTCTGCAACGCGGGGCCCAGGGTGCGTACACACACGCGCTGACATACTTTATTATTACGTTTCTATTCGAAGATAAAAAAATTAGCTAGGTTAGCTCGTGACCGCGGGTTAGTGCAACCTAGTCGAAATAAGAGAGGTTATGCACATACCTTTATTTGCCATAAAATTATTTGTGCTAAAACCCGTTTAACTATATTCATAAAATAGGTTAGTTATTTAAAGATGTGTGTTTAAGTTCTATGTTTTTTCTATGTTGGTTTGTTTATTATAATTCTACCAATACTATCAATTCGAAATATGTAACTATTGTATTTTTATCTTTTGGATATTAAATGTAAAATATTAAAAAAGTTGATAATATATTTTTTTAATTACCGTCCAAAATAATAATATAAAATTTCTTCCTAATGACTAAACTGTTTAGATTATTTTATTAATTTATTGTTGATTACATTACTACTATATTATATTACAAAATATATGTACAAATGCCGAACTTAATGTCGTAATGGCAATACCAAGCTACCAGCTAACCATTAGGTTAAAACTGTATATTTTAGTGAACACTTTAGTACTGTTATTAATATTAATATAATTGTCACTAATACATACATATAGCTTTATTTAAAAAAAATATAAGAGGATGAAACATAATGATCGCATAGTATAATAATATAATCGTGTGTGTGCAGGTGGTGGGCAACATCCGCGGCGCGGACGCGGCCACGTACCTGAGCGGAGCGGGCGCGCGCGCGGGAGCGGGAGCGGACGACGACTCGCCCGTGGACTCGCCCGCGGCCGCGCCGCCCGACGACGAGCCCACGCGCTGCACCTGCGGCTTCAGCGCCATCGTCAACAGGCGCCTCGCGCACCGCGCCGGACTCTTCTATGAGGTCTATATAAGATTTTTTTTATTAATAACTAGCCGTGACCGCGGCTTCACCCGCATGAAATCTATAGCCTATGTATTAATCTGATGTATAAACTATATTACTGTAAAGTTTCATCATGTTATAATCAAAATCAGTTCAATAGTGTGTGAAATCCAAAGATCTATCAATTTTCAGCACAAACTTTCGCGTTTGTTGTATTAATAAGTTTAAACTAAAAATCTATACGATAGTAAACAGATATCGTCTCCTATATACTGTAAATAGCACTACCATACATAATCATAGTCTATTTAAACTCAAATAATACCTGTGATTCATGTGTTGCGATTCCAAAGGACTAGGACTTTGTCATGTCTCTTATTCTGCTTGCAAAGCTGTTCAGTAGCCTTTTCCTGTTCCTGTTCAAAGCCTCAATGACTACAAGTTATAGTTGTAAAGGGCTACGATGCTGATGATAGTAGCCTGTTATGGTAACTGATATATCCTTTTTAAAGCACTTAGATCAAAAGAAGCGGATATTTTTATCTATGTGCTTTAAAAAGGAAAATATCGTTTACCGACTGAATACAGATGACAGGCTTTAAAACATGCGTCAACACTTCACTCCAGTTCTACACACTCATTGTTAGGTTTATGTAGTTGTCCACTTCCCGAATCCCTTGTTGTGTATATTGTACTCTTCATAGGACCGTCGCTTTACGTGTACTTCTGTGTCAACAGGATGAGATGGAAATAACCGGCCTGGCGGAGGAGCCGAGCCCGCGTCGCGGGGCCGGCGGGGCGGGCGGGGCGGGCGGGGCGGGCCCGGGCGGGGGCGGCGCGGGCGGCGGCGGGGGGCTGGCGGAGGTGGCGGCCGTGGTGGTGGCGCAGTGCGCGGCGCTGGCGGGCGGCAGTGCGAGTGCGCTCGCGCGAGCAGCTCGCTTGCACGCCGCGCCCTCGCCGCCGGACGAGCTGCGGCTCAACCTGCTCGAGTGAGTACCATGCCTTATAACTAAATTACGATACACGCAGCCAGCGGCCATAATATGCCGAATGATTTTTAAATTAATTTCAATTGAGACGATTTCGGTAGTCTCGTAGTGTAGCACACCGCTTTATTGCCGATGATTCGATTTCTCGCCCATAACACAAGGTATGCTTACGGGGAAATAGATGTTAATAATATTTTTTATGTTTTTAATTAAATTCAATGTCGTCTAAATTTCGTTCACGCTCTCTTGTGCGGCTTCTTTATTTACTAAATCATATGGGGGTTACAAACTTTATTTTGTTTGTTTGTGTGTGCAGATACTCTGACGGCGGCACGGCTGCGGCGCGGGCGCTGCGCGCGGCGGGCGCGGGCCCGGGCGCGGGCGCGGGGGGCGCCGTGCACCGCTGGCCCTTCATAGGGGCGCGCGCCCCGCGCTCCTCCAGGGACGTAGTCAGGTATGTGTATCTACGACTTCAACCTGATACAATTGCTAATTATATCCGAGATAAGTCAAATTTAATAAGAAAAATATAATTCTTAATCAAATCAAAATACGTATGTAAATTATCTAAATTTAATTAATAAAGTATAATTTATTTGTGCATTTTTAATTATTGTTATATAAAATATATATTTACAATACTTTAACAGATTAATGCGTCGATTGCGGCCGCTCCTCCAAGACGCGATACAGAAACGATGCTGCGGCGCGCGCATGTGGGACGGCGTGACGGGCCCGCTCACCTGGCGGCAGTTCCACCGGCTCGCCGGCCGCGGCAACGAGGACCTGTGCGAGCCGCAGCCCGTGCCGCCGCTGCTGGTCGGCCACGACCGGGACTGGATCTCGCTGTCGCCGTACGCGCTGCGGCACTGGGAGCGGCTCGCGCTCGAGCCGTACTCGTACGCGCGCGACGTGGCGTACGTGGTGGTGGCGGCCGACGGCGAGGTGCTGTCGGAGCCGCTGCGCACCTTCTTCCGGGAGCTGTCGGCGGCGTACGAGGCGCTGCGGCTGGGCCGCCACCACCCGGTGCACCGGATCGCGCGGGACGGGATCGTGCGCGCGGGCTTCGAGCGCGAGCGCGACGCCAGCGAGGCGGAGTGCGAGGAGTGGGCGGGCGAGCTTCCGGCCGGCCGGCTGGGCGAGTACGTGCGCGCGTACGCGGACGCGCTGCGCACGAGCGTGGTGCCCGCGCTGGCGGCGCTGGCCGTGGACCGGTCGCTGCTGGAGGGCGAGCGCGCGCCGCGCCCGCCCGCGGAGCCCGCGCCCGACGACGAGCCGGCCGCGCCGCCCGGCCCGCCGCCCGCCGCCGCCTGGGACGACCACGAGGGCGGCGCGCCCGCGCTCGTGCTCTACCTCGTGGAGCCGCCCGCCGCGCACGCGCAGCGCGCCCGCGCCCTGCACGCGCTGCTGCGGCTCGCGAACAGGATACACCACCATCTCAGGCATCACAACCCGCTCATCAAGGTACGTTTACATAATGTTCGCTGTATTTGTAATTTTTAAATTCATTACTTGGTTTATGATTGAAATGGTATGTTGTGTAAAGATTAATGATGACTCTTCAAGCAAATTCTTAACACTACACGACTATTTAAGGTCATTTATTGAACTCTCTGTCTAATGTTTGGGTTACAGAATGAGGCAATAAAATTACAGAATAACTAAAGATTGACCACTTAGGATCATGAGATATAGAATAATGTAATCTCTACTACAGTGTAGTGTTATTCATGTTTATTGGCAACAGATAACACTTACTGTATGCCATCAACTTATTTACCATTTTATTTAAATAAACAAAGATAAATCATTTGCTCATTTCTTATGCTAAATATGAAGTTCATACATTAAAGAAGAATTAATATATGAACTTCAATTTGGATATCGCTACACCATGGTGTCATACGTAAGTCACGGGACTGAGCGATGGAGTATACATTACGTGTCCTTCCACAGATAATATCCCTGGAGGGCGTGTACGAGGCCTGGGCGGCGGGCGGCGAGGGTCCGTCGGGGGCGGGGGCGGCGGGGGAGGCGGGCGCGGGCGCGGGCGCGGCCGAGCTGCGCGCGCTGGCCTTCAGCGTGTTCAGCGGCGCGCGCCGCCTGCTCGTGCACGCCGCCAACGGGAAGACGCTCACCGGCTTCGGCACAGCCGCCGTCGCCAACCACTTCATCAACTCCAAAGACGTGAGTCACCACGCCGTCATATACTACACGTCGCTACTCGTTACATTCAAACCGTATTTAGTTTCGTACGCCAATATGTGTTGTCATTTTTCCTTTTGAGTCATGTTTAGATTCAATCGAGAACTGTGAAACACTATTTTAGTTTAAAATTTGATATGACTCATCCCGAGTGCTCACAAACAATTTTGTAAAAGAAATCTTGAAATCTTGGTCGAAATCAAGAAATGTTACTTATTAATATGTGATCAGCTGTGATAGTGTGGGAGGAATATTACTAATATATTAAATGGATGGATGGATGACCGTTAAGGCAATTGCAATGCTAACAATTCGTTCGTTCTATATTACGTCCAGGAGAAGAACAAGGCGCCGTACAAGCTGTTCGCGCCGGCGTGGGTGTTGGCGCCACCACGCGCCCTCAAGGAGGTGGCGGAGACATGGGGGCAGGGCTGCGGCGAGCAGGGCGCCGTGCTGTTCGTGGCCTACTGCCTCTCGCACGACCAGCGCTGGCTGCTGGCCGCCGCCAGCGACGCGCGCGGGGAGCTCCTCGACACCGCCGCCATCAACATACACGTGCCCGCCAGGTACTTACCACACTCACTCACCACGTGTCGGACACGTGCCTACTATTAGTAGCCTAACGATGATTTCCAGAAGGGGTGTATCTAATCTTCATAAGTCCAAGATATGCACGCTGGCTAGACATGCCTGTGATAAATGAAGGATTTAGAAATATAATTACATACACAGTAGTGATAGTAATTTTTTTTTTTTTGATGCATTGTAATGTGTAACGTGGGGCCTGCAGGTCCCGGCGGCGGCGGTGCGGGCCAGCACGGCGGCTGGGCCTCAAGAAGCTGATGGATTTCACCCTCGGCGTCATGAGCCAGGCCGCACAGCCCTGGCGGCTCGTCATCGGACGCGTTGGACGCATCGGACACGGCGAGCTCAAAGGTACTACTCGTTGCTCTATAAGCAAACTCATTGTTTATCTTATTGTGTAAAAAAATAGTTTACAACTCTCGTGCTATATCACTGCCGGCTAACTAACCTTTGTCACAACATTGTGTTGGCGGGAAGAGATCTCTTTCAAAGATAATCCTCATCACAATCACATCCTCAGCCATAAGCTCTTCCTTTATTTAATGTTACAAGTGTCAAAGATTTTTTATGGGAGGATTAGGGGATGTAGTTCATGGAGCGACCTATTTCGCTCTTCACTTCGAGTATAGATATGGTTTATCAGATACTGTTTATAATAAGAAAATAGATCATAGTAGAGCTTAAGACCCAGATATAGTAGAGCATGTGGTATGATACGATGGTCTATGTCCTGGCTGCTGTCGCATAAGTGTGGCGCGTCTAACAATCCCCCTTCTCCACTACAGATTATATTTTTTTAATTGATGATAGTTTAATTGTGCGTCTGCCTGAGCTAATAGCTTACGCAGTCGGAGCATCACTGGAGGATGATAGAATGAATATGAGGTCAAGTCCAGAGTTCATTATGGCAAATTTATCTAAAATGTACCACGATGGTCTCAAGAGGGAATTGCATGGAACTCTACCTGACATGATACAATGCTAGTAATGGGGTTACTAGCACTCATTACTAAGAACCACCCTTTTTCTTCCATAGATATGAGTTATCTGTTTGTTTTGTTTGTATCTAAAAACTGAAGACAAATCATAGTGGAGGTAGAGTAATATGTGGTCGTGTCCGCGCCCCAGGGTGGAGCTGGCTGCTGTCGCGCAAGCACCTGTGGCGCGCGTCGTCGGCGCTGCGCGAGCTGTGCGGCAGCTGCGGCGCGCTGTACCCGGCCGCGCCCTGCATCCTGTCCGCCTGCCTCGTCTCCACCGAGCCCGACTCCTGCCTGCGGCTCATGGCCGACCGGTTCACGCCCGACGAGCGGTTCTCGCAGGCCTCCATACACTCCCACCTGCACACGCCCAGGGACGTCACCGCCACGCACATACTCGTCTTCCCCACCTCGGCCACCACGCAGGTACGCACGCACACACATAACACGATGGAGCTTTTAATGAAACTTCGATTTAATATATAGTATTTTAATTAAATTTAGATATACTAAAATAAAATAATAATAAAATGTAAAGTCACTTATTATATGTATCTTTTTAATCTAATATACCCTAAGATGTTATCTTTATATTTTACCATCAAAGTAGGGTCATTTATAATGATAAGTATCAGTGAATGCAATCGCAGTACAATAGCACTAAGAATGGAATGTAACACAATTTGAATAATATTCAAAACATCGTATATCCACATATCACAAAACAAACTAACCGAGACAACATAAATTTCCAGTCAAATCAGATGCCATTCGAGCCCCAAATGGCGAACGGCGAGGACAACGACATGATGTTCCTGAACGTGGACATGGGCGACGAGGACATGGGCGAAGACAACATGGCGGACCTGCTGATCGGCGACATGTTCAGCAACATGTGGGCGCAGAACAGCCCGCGGAACTCGCCGCGCAGGAACGACGACGACCCCGCCAGCCCCGCGCCCGCCCACCACGTCGCCGCCTGCCACCACCACGACGACCCCGCCGCCGTGAGTACATCCTGTATATTCTGTCGACACCCGCTCCGACCACGTCGCCGTTAGTACACCCTGTATATTGTATCGACACCCACTCCGACCACGTCGCCGTTAGTGCACCCTGTAGTATTATAGTATAGTGACCTTGACCAAATAAAGAAGAAATATTTAATAATCTAACTCAAAAGATTCATCATCCTAGCTTCAGGAAAGACTAATTTCCAAACAAATTATTTTATTTTACCACCTTAAGGGTGTTTAAGTAAATTTTGACAAAGTTTTTGTTTTGCGTACACAGGAGCAGGTGGGCACGGTGCTGCAGCAGCCGCTGGCGCTGGGCTACATGGTGTCGACGGCCCCGCTGGGCGCGATGCCGGCGTGGTGGTGGGCGGGCTGCACGCACCTGCGCGACGCCTGCCCCGCCTTCCTCAAGAACGCGCTGCACCTGCACACCGGCAACGTGCAGGCCGCGGACGACTTCACCTCGCTCACGCAGCGCCGCGACCACAACACGCACCCGCTCGACTCGCAGACCACCACCGACGTGCTCAGGTACGTCCGCGCTCACACACACACGCACACGCACTAAGTAGACTATACGAACTGAATACTAAACAACTGGTAGATAACCAATCAAAATCAATATCCCTTCGATGAATCCCCCGTCCTATTCAAACGGGGATCGAAATTACAACGGTCTGAGCTGAGCTACGTTCTAGCGGTGCCCTCAGACTAATGTCCTATCCGTCAAGTGAGAGTTGTCCTTCAGCCGCTCCATAATTCCTTCTGCGAATTTGTAGTGCCATATGCACTAGTCTCATATTGTTAAGTGAATCTGTAAAGGCCAACTCCGGCCAATAGTCGTGTGTATGTTTTAATAGTGTAATATATATATTAATAGTGTAATAATAAATAATGGAATTTTATTGTAGATACGTGCTGGAGGGGTACAACGCGTTGTCGTGGCTGGCACTAGACGGCGCCTCGGACCGTCTGTCGTGTCTGCCCGTGCACGTGCAAGCTCTGATGCAGCTGTACCACACGGCTGCCGCGCTCGGGTAACCTCGCCACCACCGCGCAGAGTAACCACTTGATCATCACCACCGCAGCCGACCGCCCTCTTCACACGGATACCTCCATTATTTATTACTCGACACTATTTATTGAGGGCGGCTGAGGGGATCCCGGACACGCCTCCCCTCGCGGCGACTTCTCACACCGACCTCGATGTCGGTACAAATGAAGCTAGCTGGTAAACCAGGAAGCTAGCTTCGACAATTCAAGGTCCAATTTGGCATATGAATGATTTTCTAAAATTTATACACTATAATATAGTACCGAGATAATTCTCACCGAGGGGATTTTGATTGTCGTTTTGTCGGTATACCTTGTAGCCACATGAGAATGTTAACTTCCATATAGTCTTTCGCTACTGTCTACTTCCTGATCTCTCGCTCCACGTGTCATGAACCTCATTTTCTGTAGTCTAGTACTCGTTAAATAAAAACGAAGACGTTGAACGTAATAAAATGCAATATGCTAAACTTTTATATATATTTTATAAACACATCTATCATATTTTGTCTCAAAGCTAAATTTATAACTTACCTATATTACTATTTCGTATATACCAAATGAAAATTATTGTGAAATCAAGAATTGAGAAACGACACATTGTTGTAACAGTAGTCTCCCATTGAACGGATGTCACAAGTTATATTATATATATTGCAGTTATATTATTATGTTGTTGTGGTATATGTAACAGAGATATATTATTTTTATATTATGTTATGTTAAACCGGTATGAATTACCAAAGGAGTTAGATATGTGTAATTTTGTATATATTGTAACGCCATTGCCGCTGTAGGATACGTTCCATACACCATCACATTTCACAGGGTTCTTGTTTTGTCTCAACGGTGTTACGGATAGCAAAATTTGTGTTACTAATTTAAATGTATTATTTTTATAAACAGTTTTTTTACGTTGAAGTAAAATAAAATTATTTTCTAGCAATCTATGGATTTCGATCGCTCGGTGCCCGAGCGCGGAACGCGTAGTTTATACAATTTAGCGACAAATATATTAGGCTAATTGACCATTGACTTAGAATTGGGGTTTATTAACTCATGTACAGTTTTATACGAGGGAACAATGAGCTCAACTGCGCCGTACGACGTACACAGCCAGCCGATACTACCACTGCCATACTCGTTTCTACCAGAAACTTGACGGACCCGCACGGCGCGGCCGGCAACGTTCTAGTTACGAAAACACATTACGATTGTCTTCTTATGATGAAAAGGAACCTCCGATCAGAAACTAATTTGTAACACCAATAGTTAACGGTTAGCATAATAGTTATAATGGGAGCCCCCACCCCACCCCCCCTAGATCATGTTTGAAAGTAGCATTTGTATAATTAGACATTGTCGTTTTATAAAAATATAAATGGAGCAAACGCAGGCAACGCGGACGTTGCTTCGCCGAATCTCCGCCAGTTTAGTAGTTATATGAAATTTTCTATTTTAATATATTATTAAAGCGTAAGCAAGTAGGTGTGCCGTGGAATGAAAGTGACGCTGTAAATAGGACGGACGCGTGATGTGGACCGTGTGGTCGTTATGTACTTCGTATTCGTCGACGTAGACATCATGCATCATTTTTTTTATATTATACGTTTGACTGAGTTTTATCAATGTCAAAATTAGATTATTGAAAATCATTGGATGTCGAAATTGTTATTTTTTTTTTGTTGCCTAGTACATTATTATTTGTATAAATTGTATGTTGTGAGGGACGAGCTCTGGCCGATGTCGGAGCCCGTAGTGCGGGCGGGCTCGCTCGCGGTGCGGCCCCGACGCGTCGCCACCTTAACTGAATTAATGCCTAGTTGAATATGAAATGTTTTAAATGTGTTACAAGCATTTGAGAATATTTAACGATGTTGTATATAGTTTATATTGTGTTTTGTAAAACATTTTGTACATAGTGTCGCGTAGTGTCCGACCACGTTGACTACTTGCCCACATTGCCTATGTATAATGGAGCACGTTTTAAAGGAACCACTCGTAATTTTTTTTTTGTACAGTTGTTAAGCGAGATTCGTAGTTGAATTAATTATTTTAAGGATTTCGTTTTGACCTCCTTTTGTTACTGTGAATTTGTCAATTTTTTTAGGGAATTGGGATCGTACTGTACATAGACCTCACCATTCTGTCAAATATTAGTTGTAAGCCGTCGTGAAAGCTAATGATTGATGTGGAAATAAAATTTTCTAAATGAAGCAATCATTAGATTCAGAATTAGTGTAATACTTGATATTAATATAACTTTATAAATAACTGTGAAAATAGGTAATAATAATTATGAATAAAATATTACATATTTAATGCGATCGTTTTATTTGTATTGTTTATTAAAGTTTCTATATATGTATATCGATCAGAGTGTACATCAGAGGTTCCCAAACTTTTTTTGTGTCGTAGACCCCTTGCCATATTTTTCGGCTTTGGGTAGACTCCCCATTCTTACCTGGTATTGATTTTTTGTAAATTTCTAACTAGAAAAGTTTAGTGTTAAAAACATAAAATAAAAACAACAAGCTGTCGTAGACCACTTTGGGAATCATTGTTGTACACAAACATTTTTAAGTATTATAAGTATGGGAATTATTAAAAATGACTCATGTACAATATTAAGTATTGTAGCTAACGACTATCAGTGAGTAATACAGCCCATTGAATATTATAGTCGTGTTTGTAAGTTGTTTTCCTACTTAATATTAACATAATTATTATTGGAATAAAAGAATAAATTTTCTAACAGAGGAAATACATGCAAAGGTTAGGGTACATCTATCTTCACATACACTTGAATAACCTGTGCGTTTACTTAATATATATATATATAATTTTAATATTTCGAACTCTTAAGCCTGAGACCCTTGGCAATGCAAAAGTATTTCTCCATATTCTCGATTTCATGTGCAATTATTTGAGACAGATCATTGCAGTGCAGATAGTGCACTACACGGATACCGACAGTTGCACTAGAAATATATATAATTTTATTTAACTCCGTTTAATACATATGCATTCTGATTTTACTATATTTTTAAATTTATAGTAAAAGATCAGCTAACAAATAATAGATTTCATTAAAAATAACAGATTATTTATTAATAAACAATGTTTGCTTCATTTCAATAATAAAATGTAACAAAATAATATTCGCAATAATGCTATACTGCAGTGTAAATAATAACAATATTAATGAGAATGTAAAACTTAACTTCAATAATAAATAAATATTGCAGTCTATAGTGCTACCAAAGTGATGTTTAAAATACGTAAAAATGACTAGCGACTTAATAATTCCATAGTTGATACTTAATTTATCTCCTATGGCAGTATAAATTTATTTACATAACTTAATTAAGTTTGACAAATCAACTTCAATCTTATTCATTTACTAGTAATAAAAACAATCTTTAAAACATAACAACTTTACAGATACAATGTATCAATTATAAATGTTCTTACACCTACTATGTAATCATTTAGACAGACACATGTAGTACTTATAGACTATAAACCTTGAACGACTTAGGACCTCTTCTTTTTCTGAGTGATTTATTATTCTTCCTAATTGTATAAAACAATCTTACCCTTACAAATAACATCTTCAAATACTCTACAGGGAAGCAGGGACATGGTAATTTGAAATTGCACCCTCTCAATTCTTTCATTATCTCCTGGCCTATACTGTTAATCTGCAAGTGTGATTCAAAGTACTCTTTAAATTTGTTCTCTAGGAGCATCAGAAACTCAGTAAAGTTATCAGGTGGAAATATTTGGCAATCTTTAACATTAATCTGTAATCTAACACTGCAAAGCCTAGATTTATCTTCATCTGCTAATTTTCTACACTGTACCAAGTAAGATTTTAACTTGTGACAACTGTGGCGCTCCAAACATTTTAAATAACAATACCCGCAAACGTAAACAAATACGTTTTTATCGGGCAAGCCGAGTCTGTAATCTGTTGTTGAGACCTCTAAAGGGTTATTAAAATTGTTTTCTATCCCTCTGGAATCTTCTGCGTTTAGTAACTCCTTGCCTAACCTTTGCATTTCTAATGAATTTGTTGAACTATATTTATTGGAGCCGAGAGGCCGCGTCAACATACTGTGCACAAAGTTTCTAACAAAACATTTTTTGAAATATTTGGCTGTACATTCATCTTTCCCTCCAATTTGTTTTACTTTCTTGAAAAAATTACGTATACTGTTATGGTTCAAACGATATGTTTTTAAAAGATTAATACCTATACTATTTAAGTCATGGAACAGTTGCATTATTGAATTCATTGTAATTAGGAAGCTATCTATAAATTTCATATTTTCTGTTACATCTGCACCATCGAATTTCCTTACAACTTTCAATGTTTGAAACAGTGATATCATATGCTCCATAAAGTTTTCCTGCACTTTTGTATTTGTATACGCTTTGTCATGAAGTGATTCTGAATTCAAAAAGTTGCACAGATCACTCAACATTTTATAGAAGTTCATTGTGTCATTTCCCCTAGTATCACCATTATGATAAAAGTCACAAGACTTTAAATTATTTCTAACGACTTTCAGCAACTGCAATGTATCATAAACATAGAAAATATTTCTGTTGTTCATTAAAAAATAAGGTTTATCGGGTGTCACTGTACGTGATTCTGAAGCATATAAAAATTCTGATCTTGGATCTGATACAAATGTTCTTACATCTAAACCTATATCAATTAAAGTGGTGATCACATCATCTATCCATACAGAGACTTCTGGGAAATTGTCATAGCCAGATATGAAGGAGTAAGCAACAGGTTGGACCCATTCCTCTACAATGCCTTGTACCATTATAATGATACCATATTTGGCCAACTTGATGTTTTGCCTCCCATCAACATCATGTAAACCTATAATTCTATCATGTCTGATGTCATAATATAAGTTTGGCTTAAGAAACATGCTGCTAACCGAAACAGCACAAATCTTTTCATTATCAGACATAAAACTAACTTTGTTCTTCATAACTTTCAAGAGATCATTAGACAACCCAGTAGTCTTTGGTACTAGCCAATATTTCAATTTCTCAATTGTAGGAAGACTCAACATATTCCTTAACAATTCATAAGAATTTTGACTAGAGTAATACAAATTAATAGAAAAAATATTCAAAAAATTGACTCTGTTCCCATTTCCATTACTATTGAGTTGCCATTTTATAAATTTCGACATATCCTTAGCTAGAAATTTATCACACATTTGTAAAAATGAGCTAGTATCACTTGTTTCTATTTTCTTTTTCTTTCCACTGAGATCCGTTCCATTTTCAACTTTACGCCTATTGTCTAAGGTTTGTGTCCCTTTGGACACTTTAATGACACTTTCACAAAACTCTGACAAGTCTGTATAAATTGGTGGACTTGGAATGCTAGTGTCACTCATGGTGGGATCTTCGTATGACTCAAAATGGTTCAGTTGCACTCTTTGATGGTAACCATTGTCATTGGCCGATAATAAATCTGGTGGATCAATAAAACTATTATAGGTTATTGATACAGGAACAACAGTAGACTGGCTCTCTAGGCAAAGTGTAGGGAAAGCATTTTTAGTTAAAAACTTTCTGCCTTCACAGGCTATAGAGCGTTTAACATATTTATCCTCGAAATGCGCCTCGCATATTCGGTGGTTGCCTCTAGTTTTGTTGTTTTCCAATTTGTCCAGTAAATCTAATCGATCCACTGCTTTTAGCCATTCATATCTCCTGAAAAGCAGAAAACATAGTAAAAAATAAATTAAAATAAATGACTATTATTTTTTAAATTGCTCTGATTTTTTATTATGTTTGTAATTTATACAATATTTATAAATTATAACTCTTTACTATATTCTAGACTATTCTAGACAAAAGGATATTTAAGAAATAGAAAAGATATATATAAATGATATTACCTACCGTTCAGGGTCCCCCGGATATGTGAAAAAGGACAAATGCCTGTTTAAATATGAGCAATTTCTACACACTGTACAAATTTTCCCTACCATTTCGTACACATATCAGCCATTTGAGATGATAAGAAATAATAAATAAATTAATACTAAAATTAGCAATATAACATTTCCATTTGGATAGTTGTGAATTGAAATTTTGAATGTCAAATACTCAAATTTGCTTATTGTTATGTCAATCAACTTCAGTCAAGCTATCAAAAAAAACTAAGAAAATAACGACAGTGTATTAATAGTAGTAGTCGCCATAGAAGAAAGTAGAAGAAGAAATACGTAAAGCAACGTAGAGTGTAAATCGATGATTTATAAACAGACTATATTTGTTTAGAAATGATTAAAATACCAAAATAGGCGACAGTTTCGAAACTTTATTTCCATTTGAATAAAATGTAAATTTTGAAATGTAAATTCGCGAAATTTATTACACCTTATATGATTTATCACACAATGTCATATTTTGTCGACGATTCTCGCCCCTTGTGACGTAAAGCGTGCTTAGATTTAAAGATAGAGAGATATAATGCTACATAGTACGTGGGCTGGGAAATACTTCACATTGGAGCACTACTACTACTAATAGGACTTCACCTGCGCTGAGTAAACTAATAAAACCTACCTGAATAAAAATAATTTCATGTTATTTAATTTGTACCCATTTTCTTAACATGATATAACACTTTCTGCTCCATAAAATTTTTACATAGTATAAAATGAAGTCGCTTCCGCTGTCTGTTCGCTTAGATCTTTGAACCTACGCTAGAGATTTTAATACAGTTTTAAGCAATAGATATAATGATTCGAGGAAGAGGATTTGTATATGTTTAGCGAGGTAGATTGTTACCGCTATTACTTATATATCTACTGTTAGTCTATTATAGCAGCAGCAGGAAAAGCGATGATAGAATGAGACCAGTCTTGGCTTTGTATATATATGTGTATTCTTAATATTATTTACAGCAGTGAATGATAATAATAATATAAATGGAAATTAATTTGAAGAGAAATGATTCGGTCCGCTATGACAGGATTGTTATTTTTCTCCTTCATGTGTCGCTAGGCAACGGAGTTGCCACGCGCTGTCCGTTGATTCGCCACAGTTGTATGGGCACATTTCCCTTTGCCTTTTCCTTTAAATGATAAACCGAACGAAAAAAAAAATTGTGTCAAAATTAGAAGAAAAATCAAAATAAAAAAATATTTAATTCTCTTAATTATTTTTTTGTAACTTAATATTATTGTATTTGTTCAGATAATATCGCAAACTAAGTAAAAGAGTTACAATAAGTGTTTTATTACTTAAATACAGTGATACATTTCATACATTTTAAATTAATTACACTATAATTAGACATGTAAATTTTAATTGTCTTCTTAGCGAGTCTGTTATATGCTGTAGTGTCTTTTGGAAAGTTACTATATATTCCTACGAAATTACGAACCAAATATTTATGTGAACGGTCACAACCTAGTGATTCGGTACTTGCACGATTCATCAGTGCCGATATTAGTGACATTTATATAACAAAATGAAGGTTAATGAGAAGAACTTGGCCGCTTTCGCATCATCAGCGACACCGGTGGACCATGAGGGCTGCCTGGACATGCGAGGAGAGGTTAGCAAGAGCTACCAGAAACGGTGGTGCACACTCAAAGGGAATCTTCTATTTTACTTTGACAAAAAGGGCGATAAAGAACCAGTAGGCGTTATTATAGTGGAAGGGTGCACTATAGGTAAGTGTATTTAACTTTTCACTTACCAAATATAAATAAAAGTTAGGTTATAAACATGAATAAAGGGACATGCAAACCAAAGACTTAGTTCTCTATTTACATAGTGATCTGGCGAGAAACTTGATCATGTTTTATTTATATTCATTTATCTATAAGTCATATAGTCTCTGTGTTCTAGCAGATTATCAGACTGGCTAACTTTCTATGGTTTCAGGTTCAATTCCTTGCACAGTACAAACATTTGTATTTGTGAGTATGATGGTTTGTCTGGGTGTTTTGTGTATATATAGTTAAGACACATGCAATCTGGTGCCCATAGTATGTATTTATAAAGAAATATATAAATATTTGTATTAGTGGTTTAGTGCCCATAAGACAAGCTCTGCTTAGCTTAGGATTGGATGGCCAATGAATTGTTCAGAGTTATTATTTTTATACATACATATTAATCATCACATTTGTAGAGTTGATATGAAAGTATCCAAATGATGAACTTTTTATAAAGTCTATTTTAGTCACTTACTTTTATTTAGAAAACAATTAATGTACAGAATATCTGAATTCCAGAGCTTACAGAAGAGGAGACATACAGTTTCAAGATAGTATTCCAATGTGAGGGTGGACGCACATATTATTTCTGCACAACCTCTCAGGCATCCATGGAGCAATGGATGAAGTGTCTGGGTTGTGCCAGTTACGACTATATGAAGCTAATGGTGGCCGATTTGCAGAGACAATTGGAAGAGGCGGAAGGTTGGTACCATAGTCATGGAGGTGTACAATCAAAGTACCAAAATTTTACCTCATAATGATATTATTAGGTAAAAGCAGGATTGCAAATAACCATAAAGCTTGTGCATACATGATTATCCACAATTTCTATATGAAATTAATGTAATGACTAGACCATTAAAGTAGATAATTAATATATTGGCAATGTTGTACAAAACAGCTTAGTGGCCCTGACATAGGTGGCTGAAGCAAATGAAGTTATCCTCAAACTCATTGCTGCACTGCTTTTAGAGACCGGTTTAGTCTAATCACTACAATTGATTTATTTAGTTTCTCAACCAGTTGGTTGTGTCTTTATTACATTGATAATGTAATAGTGCTGTTATAGTTGATGGTTTGTATTCACACATTTGAACTTAAAAATGTAAAGTTACAACTAAATTATTTAAAGAGGCACATGCAAGTTTCTTGTTCTTTATTTTTGTGATGAGACAGTTATCTGATTGAGTGGTGAATTCATAAAAATAAATAATGACTATTCAAAAGTGCTTCCTTATTCAAATAAACTTACTATAAATTCTTTTATAATGTTATTTTATAAAAGAATTTTCTATTCTATTTAAAAGATTCTTTTTCTTGATGATTCTATAAAATAATCTATGGAATATTAAGGTATACAGGGTTATATGTAAAGGTTATTCATACTCAAAAATCAGTGACAGTAAACAAGAAACTGAACTATGAACTTGGCATACCAAAGAGGAAATTTTTTAACAATTGCTTAATTAAATTATGTTAGTTAGTATGATAAACTCAAAATTAAATAACATAGATATTGTAGGCAAATGGAATCCTTGCTAATGAAGTAATTCTTCCCAGCGGAGGCTGCGGCGGACGCTGCAGCGGATGCAGCGGCCTTGGTGACCATCACGCCACCTAAAGAAGAGCCCACAGCACCGCCCCGTGGACAGAGGCACAACCCCTTCAATACAGTTCCTGAGGGAGACGCTAAGGTCGTACAAGGCAGTCGACATCGTAAGTAACACTTTACTTTCATACATTAATATGATAATTCTGTCACATTGCCTTGGTATCCTAGCAGTTTAGCATTACTTCTGATAACCATTGGAAGTGATGCTATACCGCTAGACCACCGAGAGGCAGGTTCGAATTAAAATTTGTAAAGAATATAAAAACTCGCGAAGACGCAGCGCTTTCGTATTGCATGTGAGAAAAAATAGTTAATTAATTTTATAACAATATATTGATGGGAGAAAGTCGAAAAATTTCTGAAATGCTTGGTGGGCCACATTAATGTTTAACTGGCCGCAAACGGCCCGCGGGCGGCGTGTTCATTCCTAATTAACTTATAAGTCTTATATTATTATTCTAGATAAAGAAAACCTAAGACCAGAAATGCCTCGGAAGAAAGTACCCTTCAGAGACATCCACACCACATATGGTAGAAAAATACTCGCAGACAGAAATGAATGGCGAGTCAAACTGTCAAAACAGAAATCAGAGGACAAACCGCTCATACAGTTGTAATGCACAGGATGGAAACACGGAGCGATGTTGCGACCTCAGTATTATTCACCTAATATCAAAAAGCTTATGGAATTTGTACATTTGTTTTGACTTAAAGTCAGCAGCCTTCTAATAAAAAACAGGGAATTTCAAAATTATATTAACATTTATTGTTATGTGTATATTATATGCTATTCTTGCCTAAACTAAACGCCATCAATGTCGGTGAAATTCATGCTGGACGCGGGCCCGACCGGCTGCGACCAAGAAAATCACGGCGGCAGGGCGTATCGGATCGGAGGATCGGTTGGGTCTCGTTCGCTGCGGAGGTGCTGTGGCAGAAGCCGCTCCGGTGTTTTACGTTCCTTGAGAGCGAATACATGGTGTCACGGTGCTTACAAGATGAGGACCGGCTTGTGCTACCGGTGTTTTCCGGCCACAAAGCGGCCGGGTGTTGAGCGGGCCCCACGTAAAGTGGTTGCGTGAGCAGCGGCGGGTTGCCGCTACTGGGTGGGGACCAAAAAGTGCCCGCAGTCCCGTAACAAAAAGAGGGGATCTGCACTGTCGTCGGATTGCGCCAATGGCCGCCGGTTAAAGGCTGAGGTGATGGTCAACGGTTAGTAATGGCGGTCCATTGTCCTCCTACAGTGAAATCTAAACCACTGCGCACGTGCTCAGTATTTGCCTTTGCAGAGCGCGGCGCAGTGGCGGGTTGACCTGGCAGTGATCGTTGAACCTGTGATCGGCGGACCGATACAGTGTCCCGCGGATATTACTATATATTATATATGTTGGTATATATTATATAAGGTGGAGACAGCTTTCAATATTACTAGAACATTTTAAAACATCTGGGGTAGATTATAAATACTCGAGAGATTAACTCAAACACACTATATTGTATGCACATAAGGCAAGTTTTAGTAACAGTAATAAAAATCACTGGGATATGTAGAAATAATGAACGTCAACAGTATTTACGGGACAATTATTATATGTGATATATAATGTATAAAATTTGTCTAATTTTTGCACCAATTCAAACACGGATTTTTGTAAACGACGAAGGTTGTCGCCTGTATATGTTTTTTTAACTATATTGTATATTATAGTTTAGACTAACAAAAACTAAATGAACTTGTGAATATTGTCCGAATACACATTATTATTCTTTGAAACTGTTATTTTTCTGTTATAATTTTTATTCAATTGAACCTAATATAAGCACTTTTGAATAGCCATATTTTTTTATTCTACCACTCATGAATAGCTCTAATAAGCAAAATAAAACAACAATATTGTATTAAGTAGTTTATTTTAAAAATCTTTGTTATATAAACCAACACTTTACAAAAATCAACTGAGACTATAGGGAGAGATAACACAAGTACAATGAGTGCACGGCGACGCATCAACGCGTGCGCCTGACGCGGGCGTTTCTGGCACTCGAACATTTTGGTATTGTTACATGCAACATTAACTAGAGAACATTGAGCAATATGATGCAATACACGCCCGCGCAGACTGCACACACACAGGGCCGGATTAACCATTGGGCAGAATAGGCAACTGTCTATGGCTCATATTCTGCAAGGGACCACGTATACTAAAAAAAAATAAAGAAAATCATAGATAAGTATTCATAGATATGATTGATATACTTTTATCTTCAATGACAATAGATATTGTATTATTGTTCATTTACTCATGTCAGATAATATAATTGTTTAGTATCAAGTAGTAGAACTAATAATATGCATAGGTTAGGATTTTTACTTCCTTTTGTGAATTTGAAAAGAAATGATAATTTAAAAACTGCTGAGAAGCTTTATTATAATAATATTTTAGTAATAATAGTATTGAGTTACTTTTCATAGTTGATTTAAACAGGATGGGGCTTCGATAATTAATGCAATCTAGTCCAGATACCTCGGGGTCCCGACACGGTTAAACCGGCCCTGGTCACACGTGGCTCCGAAATACAATAACTACAGTGATCTATACATAACAAAGTGTCAAAACGATACGGAAGACAGGTTCAGAATGCCCAATAGAACATGGTAACAACGTGAGGGTTATGTCTCAGTGATAAACTGAAAATGTCAAACTTCAACATACTAAATATTGTGTTAATAAAACAATATATGCTATAAATAAACGCGTCATAATATAACGTCCCACTCTGTTTATATGTGAACATGCTATTCGTATATACTTCGTCCGCACAACGGCTCAGATGAGAGGCGAAATGTGGAGAATAAAGTTCATATTACATTAAATTACATTTCATATGCTCGGTCGGTCTGTGCAGCTTTCCATATATCAGAGTTAGCGTCTAGGAACGTGATATTAAGGAACACGAGAAAAAAAATCGTGCAAAAACCACATAACACTCTATTACAATATCTCCCATGTCCATAAACTATTCAAATTACAAATCTACATAAAAGAAATTTAAACAAACACGTTGCTCTGTCTTCGGTTATGCCGCGGTGAGAATTATTCATGTAGAGTGCAAACATTAGCAATACATTTTTGAAAATTTGATTTGTCTCAACATAAATCACCCTTGAACCGTGGCAAATCCGTACAACACCCTAATACGAAGTATTGTCATAAATATGGATCATATTTGGTAACAATTCCTTAAAGTTTAGCAATTATAGACACTGTGCACTAGAAAACAAATGAAAAACACAATATAGACGTTAGTATATACAAGGTTACAGTTTAAATCACATCACTAACCGAATTCTCTAAAGCTACCTTAGGAAATTAGTGAAAATAGTCTTAAATAAGGTTTAAGGAGAAGAATTTAAATAGGAAAGTGTTTACAGTGTAAATATACAATCTAAATTAAAATCACGTACAAAAAAAAACAAGGCGTATAGTTATTTACAATTTGTGTGGTGGGAGGAGTTAGGGTCTGGCCACTGCGTATAGAGGAAAATATATTTGGTCTTAGGATATCTAATAACATCTAAATATATAATATCGATACAATCTAAAACTAATAATTTATTGCTCCTTTACTAATGATCTTCAGTCATTTATATTGTCTTCTTTATATATCTTTATGTTTTAAATCTACTAATCTCATTAGGGATTAAGTCAGTGTTAGGAGGCTATTACACTATCATACACAAGCATATATCATTTAAATATCTTCTGAATACGTGTCAAAGACGACACATGATATATCCTTAATAATGATAGTGTAATGCCTTTTTACTAATACTAAATAATGAAAATGGGTTTCCATGCAGTTGTGAATTCAATAACTAATGAATGACCATTTCATACCTATTCTGTATTACATAATAAACGTTACATTGTAAATATGATGGTTACGTTACATTATACATGTAATATGATATAAATACATTACAGTCTTACATAGTATTAAATATTGTTATGAAATAATTAGTTAATTGTCGAATATGTCAACAAGCTAAGTGGCCAGGTGCTAGCATGGTGGGTGTAACGTACTGAAGCGCGATCATTTCTACGCTTAAACACTAGGCATGACGTGAGCGATTTCAACGTGAAACGGAACGCGCGGCGAGTGATCGTCGCTCATAACTCGAAGCGCTTCTTCCGCTCGGCGACCATTCCTGCGAGCGGCCCTAAGGACGCTTTTCCAGTGACTGAGCGGCGTTTCGATGTCTTTAGTTCTGTTGAGCAAATTTATTTTATTATTGTTTTATGACATGTATGAGTTGTCCATAATTATAAAATTTAGGGGCCGTAATTTAAATTACAGTGGCGTGCTTTGGAAGAGCTCTATGACCAGCACTCGACTTCAGTGGGCTGACGATGATAAATTATAAATATTTGGCTTCTAGATGTTGCTTGGATCAATTTGCTTGATTGCCATAGTCATCGTGGTTTTAATAATTATTTATTTTATAAAAACAAGTTCTCTTGGAGGTCTTGGACATAATTATTACTCTTATATCTTAACACCATAAGATACTGATAGCGTTAAAAGACTATTAAAATGTAACATCAAAAATATCGCAAATAAAATATTTTTAATTAAAAAATGCCAAGTTTGGTCACCCATGTAATGTCTATCAATTTATTATAAAAATATTATTTTCAACAAACGTATCTCTTGAGAATATAGAGATAACGTGCTGGAATCTTCCATATTTAAATGAAATTCAATCCCACCCTAAACTTAGAGAACCACTTACTATGGCACAAAACTCCAATGGCAAACTCAGCAGACCTTGTTATATAGGTATCGGACGATAAATAAATTATTACTAGATTAACTGATTACCTGAACGGGCGACAGCTGCAGATTTCTGGTGCTTTCTGTCTTCGCGAACTGTATCTTGGGCGGGCGCGACGGCCTCGCAGCCTCCAATAGCGGGCTCGATCTCGACGATTTCCCCTGATATATATATTATGGTTATTGAAATCAGATGTTGAAGTCCATCATCTACTAATATTTGGTAATTTAAATATGGAATATGATTTTCACAAAAAAAATAAAAAATAATCACAGTATGTTATTTAATAGACAAAATTATTTTATTTTTAATCGCAATATATAATTTCGTCATTATCTTAACAGATTCTGTTAGTATTATACCAGACAGTTTCAATTCTACCGTAGAAAAAAATATATTGCACTAATATGTATTTTCTATAGTAAACAATAAAATTTAGCAAGAGTTAAAATAATATTTTAATACAAGAACAAGTCAACAACCATACAAATAAAAGTGTAAGTGCAAAAAAACCTCATATATGCAAACCAAAACCATTCTTAAATTATGTTAAACTTATTGTTACAGCAAAAGCATTTTAGATATAATGTTTAATTTATTTGTAACGGTTAAATTACGATTATTAAGTGGGTTTAAATTACTCTAAATATATACAAAATAAAAATTAGCAAATATATAAATAAATGTACGTTACTTTAGTAGGAGAGAGTGAAACCTATTTTATATTCTGTATTGGTTCCTATAAATGCTAATATTTACTCTCTTATAGTGTATATTTGTTTCATAATTTAATTAACAAAATTTCTCTTTCACAACTTCTTTAATAGGAGTTAACTCGATTTTAGTGTAACTGATATACTTAAATAAAAGTAATTATATATGTATATCATTATATAGTATACTATCATAGACTAGCTGTTACCTACGACTTTGTCCACGTGGATATTAACTTTATTTAAATTAAATTACTAAAATAAAAGTAGCTTAAGTTACTCTACTCCTTATAACAATAGCTATCTGCGAATGAAAGTCCGACAATCTCGGTCCAAAGGTTTCAGAAATTATCAAGAAAAGTCAGACAGGCAAATATTTTTTTTATTTATTTTTTTATGCAAGTGCTCTATATGTATACTTTCATATATATTTAGTGAAAAGTTATTAATTTAAAATTACAAACAGACTCTTCAATTTTATTTGCTTGTATATAATTATTAATTTGGGTTTAGTGTTATTTTTAACATTAAATTGTTACTAACAATTACTATAAAACTACTATATTTATGTACACAATTCTACGAGAAACGTGTGATGTGACTATAAACTGGTGAAAAAGTTTCGTTTGCCAGTTACCTGAAGGAATGCTGCGCTGCCACACTTCCGCCAGGTGCTGCATGTGCGTCCACAGTGGGCCCTCCGCCCTCCCATGCTGTTAGTGCACCCAAATGTACCATGACGCCATGTTGTCATAGAATAGTGTGACAGTAATTACCGTAATTACACTACCCAATGCTGATCGCTCAAATTGATTCAAATATACCTTAGAGCAGTGTTTCCCAACGTTGGGCTCACGCCCCACACGGGACAATTTATGTTAAGGGGGGCAATTTGATTTTGATGCGGATGCGGATTCGATACGAGTCTGACTCTTTGGTTCCGAGATATTTAAATTTTGGCGCCAAATTTAACGAAAAAAGCAAATTGTTTTAGCATAATTGTTTTAGCACTAAATAAATATAATAAATGAATATAGAAAAATCTTTATTAAAATGATTTGATTTTTGAATTTCAGTATTTCATAACACGTTTTGAAAATTTATTTACAGCGTTAACAATTTCCTAGTGATTTATCATTAAACCTATCATTTAAGTTTCCTAAGTGAATAATGCTTTGTTTTAATATTAAAAATTTACACAGGGGGCATAAGAATTTTTAAAAGGCTAAGATGAGTCATGGTCTCGATAAAAGGTTGGGAAACACTGCTTTAGAGCATTTCTCTGACAAATTTTTCGGCTTTAGAGCATTTTTCTGTCCAATATTAATGACTATGACTGTATATTAAAGTTTTACCTAAAGGGGATTAGTTGGTTAGTTCTCTTGAAATTTGGTGTAAATATATTTTAATGGAGAAGACTATAAATATCAGTCAATATTCTTTCAATTACAAAATGATACTTCGAATATGATTTATTTGTGGTAAAGATATTATACAAAGTAATAGTCGAATCAAATTTCTGTACTTTTGAAGTAATTTATTGTAAGAACTAACTGCTATTAAGAACAATTTTGTCTGAATTATACTTAGTTGATATTGATCATTATATGTCATCCAATTTACATAAAATCTTCTTAAATATATAGCCTGTGTTATCCTGATGTACTAGCTAATTTACTGTAAAGTTTCATCAAAATCCGTTTAATAGTTTTCTCGTGAAAGAGTAACATCCATCCAACCATAATCACAAACTTTCACGTTTATTAGTAAGAAGTAAGACTCTCAGGTCTAGATAAAAAATATATTAAAGATATAAAAGATCTTCTAAGGATATCGTAGGAAAAATGCTCAATAGAAATATAATCATTATCATACTCAATTTAGGCGATATACAGCAATGCAAAATAGTAGACATACAATTATGAAGCTTATTATTTACAATAGACTATAAAAAAAACTATAATGTAAATTCTAGATAACTGAATAAGACTTTAAATGATAATTTGCATCGTTTGAGAGAAACTATACACCTAATTCTAACATTAAATTAATGAGAATGATGATGATCTTATAACATTATTACGTGCTACGCGTGACGGTCATGCAAGCGTGCAGCTTTCTACTTGAAATGTTTATGTGATTGAGTAGAAGTACCATAATAGCTTAGGCTGTACAAGCGTGTTCTGTCGACTTTGTGCATATAGAAAAAAAATGCTAATTCATAAATGGAACATACCGGCGCAGTGTCCTCGATGAGTTGCGAGAGAGTGGACGCTTCGCTGTTTTTCAAGTCGTTCGCTTCAGATATCAAATGTGCGCGCAGTTGTTTGTTCCTGAAATTACACATAGAAAATTTATTATAGCGGTTATTATCCAGAAGTCATTAAATTTTGATTTCTATTTCATAACTATTTTTTTTATACTCATGAAATACCACATAGCGCTATCTAGTCCCACATTAATCAGACTTTGTAATATGGCTTCTAAACAATTCATAAAATAGTATAGTATATCATTTGATGTTTTATAAGTACCTACATACATATAGAAAACATCCAGACCAATACAAACAATCAACATGAATATAAATGTATAATCTGTATTAAAGACTGCCATTACAACAATCATAAATAAAAAGGTAAATGCGCTTCAATTACTTAACACAGAGCGCCATCTATGCCGAAATATTGTAACTAATTTTAGCCAGTTACTACTGTAAAATAAATAATTATATGAAACAACTACACCACCGCGGTCGTCAAGGGTCGAGTTAGGAGTAGTGGAAATCATTCTAGTCGTAATCTTGTGTAGTGTAGCGTAGCGTACTGTAGTGTGGTGTAGTGTAGGGTAGTGTAGTGTAGCGTAGTGTACCTGGCGTCGAGCTGCATGATATGGTTGTGCGCGTGTGCTAGCTGAGCGGTGGCGGTCGCGAGGCGCTCCTCCAGCGCCGCAGACTCCACGCATTTAACAGAGTACTTCTCGGACAGAGACAGGATCTCGCGCTTTATCTCTTCCATTTCTTGCCTGAAAATAAAGTTTAAATATATTTATTTTTAGTATAATATTAGTATACTACCGACCGGACTGCAATCTAGGATTGAATAATTTACACTATATTATGCGATTAATACTTCGCTTATGTTAATTCTCAGGATTATGCCAGGGGACATTTACCATTATATTTCGCCCAATAATAATAATAATAATATATCTTTAAATTATTAAATTATATATTTCGACTTCGTCCGCGTAAAATAGTGACCTTGAGCAAATAATAAAAAATATATATTAATAATCGTTCTAGCTTCAAAAATAATAATATATTCAATCAACAGCCAAAAACTAAGTTTCAAAAATCTTTAAAATTAAATTACCTTACATCTCCCCTTATATTTTCTTGTTTTTTTTAATGCTACTTATATTATGTGTCATCATGTCTGAAAAGATTTATAACCATTTAGCTGACATATATACATAATTGTAAAGCTTAATCGAAATCCATTCAGTAGTTACTGCGTGAAAGAGCAACGAACATGCATCCATCTATCGCATAAACATCCGAAATATAATATTCCCATAAGTATATGTGTATAGACAAATTGTAAAACTATTTCTAATTTGACTAATTTTTGAAGTGAAACTTCTATATATTATATATACGAGATGTATAAGTTCTATCGGTCACGAAAAAGCGTTACAGTCGCAGTACGATATATCGCGGTGTGAGAAAAAGAGAAAGGCAGGTGGCGGCGCAGAGAGGACAACGACAGTCCGTTGAAGTTCTACTATGGTAAATTTAAAATTATACTGTACCAAATTTCATTTAAATCAGTTCAGTAGTTTTGGCGGAAACTGAGACAGACGATAGGTCCATTTATAATATTAGTAAGGATGTCTTATTCTGGATTGTGCGCGCCCCGGCTGAGGATCTACATAAACATGAATTTATAATATTCCCATAAGTATATTGAACTTGTCCACTATATATTATATATACTCGCGGCGAACGATATATCGCTGTGTGAGAAAAAGAGAAAGGCGTGCGCCTTCCGCATCGCGTCCAGTGCGCGCCCCGGCTGAGGAACTCTGTCTTGAACTTGTCCACCTCGCGGCGAACTTCGCTTTCGTGCGCCTTCCGCATCGCGTCCAGCGCTGCCAACGTAGCACGTGTCTCCTCCGCTAGCGCTTGCTCTTTGTCCAGCCTGTCAACATTACGGAGTAAAGGAATAAGCTATGGATATTGTTAGTGATCACCAGGCTCAGTGGTCAAAATTCGACTATAGACAAATAATATTAAAGACAAATATTATTAATCTATTTAATGCCGTGGATTTCGCCCTGGAAACCATCGTGATGAATTCTTGGTGAATTTGTCACGATGGACTACCTGACCTGACCTCATGCCCATCTTATCATCTTCCACTGGTGCCCCGTCAGAGTAAACCGTTAGCGTTACCGTTAGGCAAGTGCACCATTCCATTATCATCCATAAAAAAAATGCCGTAGAATTTTAAGTTAGCAGGAGTCTCACAGTACCCGTACGTCAAAACCCTGAGATGGACGATCTGCATGAGAGTTTTTCTCCACGTTAAAAATACTTGTAAACTTATGTAATTCCGTGTGTTGTGTGGTGAGTATGGCAACGTACCGCAGCTGTTCCCGCTCGGCGCGGTGTTTCTCCTCCATCTCGCGCACGATGCGGCGGTGCGAGCTCTCCATGGCCAGCAGCCCCTTCTCGCAGAGTGCGCGCAGCTGCTCGATCTCCTGTTGGTAGCGCGCGCGCAGACCGTCGCCGTGAGTGTCCGCCGCCACCGCACTCTGCACAACCCCCACCAAGGGAAAACTCAGATATAATACGATATAACGGAATGTAATTCTTTGAATAAAAAAATCTTTTTTATTTTCTTTATTCTATGTAGGCACTAAGGCTGAAGCGGTAACAGCAGGTTTTAAAAGTCAATTAACAAAAAACAGAACATATGAAGTTATGAGGGATGTTTTTTTGTATGAAAATAATGACATTAAATACACGAAATTCTATCATTATTATATTATAGCTTGTAGACGGGAACGTAGATATTGTTCTAGTTTTATGTTCACGGGCTCCAGCAGCGCGGCGCGCTCTAACTCGTGCTGTGCTGTGCAGTTGCGTTCACTGACCTGGTAGGCGGCGCGCAGGTTGTCGAGCTGCGCGGAGTACTCGGAGTCGAGCGCGGCGAGGCGGCGCTGTAGCGTGCGCGCGCGCTCTCGAAGCGCGGCTCGTTCTCGCTCGTGCTGCGCCTGTAGCTGCGTGCGCGCACGTCTCGCCGCCGCCAGTGCTCCTGCCTGTCTCGCCAGTGCGCACTCACCACGCGCGCGTTCCGCCCCGAGCCTGCACACGTAATTACTTAGTCTCTGTTCAACTACACTATACTTATAGTCCAACAGGGCCACCAGAGGTCACTTATTTTGTAAGATTCAGTAGAATCAATAGATTTTATAGGCTACGATCATATGACTACCTACTTATTCTCTTTCGAATGGTCACTTTCCAAGTACTGAGTATTTAAAATATTTCGTTCTAATAATCGGATTAATCTGATTACCCTGGAATCTCGATGTTCATCTATTAGATATTGACCGTACCTGTCCAGCGCGTCCTGTAGCTGCTTACAGTGCTGGCAGGGCACCAGCGCTTGCAGAGCTTCCACGCGCCGCCGCAGCGACTCGACACGGTCCAGCACGGACCGCGGCGGAGCCTCGGCCGCCGGCTCCGCCGCCTCCTCCTCCGCGGCGCCGCCCGCCAGCTGCCGCTGCACCGCCGCCACTGCCGCCTCCACCATCTCGAGGCTCTCGCCGATCTTCATCGAGTCTTCACTGTTACCCGAACAGTCACTGGAGAAGAGCGCTCGGCACTCGTTGGAGAAGCGCTGGAAGAGGTAGACGAACTCCGCCTCCTGAGCGGGGTCCGTTTCCAGCGAGGAGATGGCGTCCTCGGCGGATCGACGCGAGCCGTCGGCTTCGCGCGGTGTCGAAGCGCGGTAGGTGCCCTCGACTACGGCGATGCGCGCGTCGATAGACGCCTTCTGCGCGAGCACGTCGGCGAGCTGGTGCAGCAGCGCGCGGCTGTCGAGGCCGGGCGAGCCCTCCTTGCGGCGGTCGCCGGCGAGGCACTCGCGGTAGCGCGCGGCGATATCGCGCACGGCGGCGTCCATCTCGCAGCGCAGGTGGTCGTGCGCCGCCTGCCACCACAGCTCGAGGTCGGCGCGGTCCTGCGCAGTGAGCGTGAGGCGTCCGGCGCGCGCTCCGTCAAGCCGTCGCTCGCAAAGGGAAGCGGCGCGGGCGAGTGCTCGCGCCACCTCGGCCTGCACCAGCGAGGCGCCCAGCGCGTCACGCGCCGCCGCCCACGCTTCACGCACCCGCGCCGCCTCCACGTTGGCGCGCTGCTGCTCGAAGTCCGCGTCGCTCGGGGCCGCGTAGCTCAGCGTCTCGCACGCGAGTGCCGAGCACAGCTCCGCCAGTTTTTCCGTTTTGTACCTGTCGACGGCTTCGGCGACTTCCTTCTGCGACGCCTTGAGGGCCTCGAGGTCCGCGCTCTGCAGTATCAGCTCGGACTCCCTGAGCCCTCTCGACTCCCTGGTACCGTTCATTATGTCGATCTTTCGCGATAGTATCCTAGCGAGATAGTCCAGCGAGCTCCTAGTGCCAGCTATATTTTTATGGCCGTCGCCGTTTATCTTACACTTAAGATTATCGATTAATTGACTAGTTTCGGTTATTTCAGACTTTATTAATCTAGCAAAGAATCTGCTACCGTTGGAGGCCTCCAGGGCTTCCTGAATTCTGCTGACCAGAACCGCCTCATATGCGAGCTTCTCTGCTAAAATTTCCAAGCTTCGTCGTTGCGTTAGTTCGCCAGATTCGTACAGTGCTGCCTTTTTCTGTGACATTTCTAGGAGTTTAGTTCTTAGCTGCTCCTCTAACTGAACGACCACTTGTGTTACGCTGTCATTTATTTCGTGTTCATGATTTTGATCGCCATCGACGACACATTTATCAAAGCACTCTTGCAATCTTTTGCTGACATCAGACAAACATTTTTCCATTGATCGAATGCTGTATTTCTTCTCTAGACTAGGGGACGGAGATCTCCTCGATTTGGCTGCTCGCATAGCGCTCATTTGGCATAAACATTCGTTTACCTTATTTCTTGAATGTATCACTACACTTTCAAGACTTTGTAACCTGTCCAAAAGATGCCTTTGTGACTGTGTACCGACAGTAGAATTTTCTAAACTCTCATTAAAATTGGGACTTTCAATTGATCTCGTCGCTTGACTCAGAGATTCACACGAATTCGTGAGGTCACGACGATTTTCTAATGCAGATGCAACTTTGGTTTCTAGCGAACTTAAACGTACTAGCATTTTCATAGGTTCTGAACTGGTAGCGCTGTCCAAAGATTTTCTTCTGAGTCTAGCGGCTAATCTTTTCATTCGTTTTTCTTCTGCTAAGGTATCTGTTTTAGTTCTATCTTTGGCAGGTGACATACTTTTTGAAGGTGAGTTAATGGTGGGAACTTGTTCTCCAGATTCTAACATAGTGATTTTATTTTCCAGTTCTGTCAATTTTTCTTCTACCTCTTTTCCGAGTGTAAACGATTCTCTTCCCTTGAGTGATAAACTACGTCTTTTTTCTCTGGATTCTGATTTCTGTATTTTATACTTCAAAGTTCGCACTTGTTTATCTGATGCCGTTAATTTTTGCGTAAGGTCTAATATGCGTGCAGCCATTAGGTCTATTTCTGACCTTGTACATTGTTCCCTCAGTTTCATTTCATTCCTCAACTTCATATTTGTTATTTCGAGTTCATCATACATGTTATGTGAATCACGAAGTTCTTTTTTCATTGTTTTAATTTCCTGTATGGCTTTCATAAACCGCCCCCGTAATTCAACATACTCCTCTATTAGTTTGTTCTTTTCTAAAGATTCCAAATTTATTTCATCATTTAAATTACTGAGCTCGCTGAGAGAACTTATGCTCTTTCTTTTTTCTTTGGTCGGGGACTCAACTACCACTCGTCCTTCTAAATCTCGAATTCTCTCATATAAATTGTCGTTATCCTTAACACTTTTCAGTAGTTTATCGCTAAGGTCATTCAGTTCTGATTGGAGTTGTTTAATAGTATCTTGTGCCGATGTTAACTGTCGAGTCAATAATTCACAGTGCTCTGTCGATTCTTTCAAAAAGTTTTGTGTTTCTGTTAGCTTTGTCTCCCACATAGTTTTATCTTGGTTGTAAAGTTGCTTTATAGTGTCCAGACTTTCAGCTTCTTTCGTTCTTATTGATAATTCCTCTTCTTTCTTTTGGAGAGTTATTACCAGTTCTTCCATTTTTCTCTCTCTTAGAGTAGCATCAGATTTAAGCTTTCGTAATCGAGCAAGTTCTGATTCTGCAGAATTAACATCATTTAGAGCTACTTGAAGTTGTTTTCGTAAGTCGTCGATTTCAATGGATTGTTTATCGATAGTTGATATGTAGCTGCGTTTCCGTGGTTCATTCGGCTTCTCGTTGTCATCAATTTCCTCTGATGAACGCTCTTTTTCTTTGGTAGCATCTATTTCATCCCTTTCTCCCTTACTATCTGATCTTGTAATCGAATTACTAGTTCTAGCACGTACCTTATCTTTGACTTTTGATATTGGAGTACGATTTAGAATAGGCGATGGAGGTGGTTGCGGCGCAACATCACCCCAGTCGGCACTGTCTCGACGACCACCTTCAGAAGCTGTTCTGTATTCTTCATCTGATGAGAATGGAGCCGATTTTCCGGTAATTGGCGTCACTGGTGTAACCGGTGATGTCGATGATTCTGAAGCTTGATCAATAGTATCTTCGCGTAGTATCAACGATAGAGACCCACTATCGGGTAGGCCGGCTGTCCTACGAATCGCAGATACCCAGTTGGCCCGAATGCCAGCTGTCACAGCGGATAGTACTATGTGTTTTCCGTCCCACGTCTGAAAAATAAGAACATATGTTAAGACACCACTTTACATTTAGTTCAAAACTTGCTGTTTTTAATATTTTTAATATTTACCTTGGTTTCAAAAGCATATCCTGTGGATGCTGTCGTTGGTAGTTCAACAACTCTTTCTACGCCACTAAGATCTATAACACCGTCCATTAGTCCTCGATGTTCTGCATGGGGATCTCTGAAGTAAAGCAGAGCTGCTCCTCTCAACACGAACCAGTGGCGCGACCATCCTCCGGGCCCTCTCCGCTGTAACCAGCCAGCTCTCGCATGCAGCAGTCTTTCGGCGGGTAGTTCCACTCTATGTTCTCCTCCTTCTGTAGTTTCTACAACATCCGCGGGTTCGCTACCCTCACTTGACGAGCTCGAACTTGCTTCTTCTGGTGGTACGGCTCCATCTGGAGTACCACGTGGCTGAGAAATAAAAAATATAATTAACCAACTGTACTGAATACTATTCCAGTTATTCTAAATAACTCTAATTCTAATTAAGATGAAAAGAGCTATTTTATATACCTAGGATTATCTATCTACCACAACAATTCTTGCTAATCTAGATGCTGGCTATTGAAATAAATGTGGTAAAGCAACCAAACATACCATCTCGGAAGTCAGACACAATTTTCTTTCAATGTATCTATTTATGATGGTATTTGATAATTTGGTAATTTATGATTGATATTTGGTAATTGTAGATCTGATTAGATTTTTGAGAATCATTATTGTTATTGACGGCCTCTGCTGTCCAGTTGTTTTTAGCACACCGCCCTACTCCTGATGGTTGAGGGTTTGATCCTTCGCACGATGCTAACGTTTGTATTAATGTTAAGTTCATTATTTATATTGGTCCTGGTGTGTATTCGTCTATAAATATTATACATGTATTTAAGTTCACATGTTTAGTATCTATAATACAAGTTTTGCTTAGCTTGGGATTAGATGGCGCTGTGAATTGTTCTGCATTATTATTATTATTACCGGCAGACGGTCAGGTGGTGGTAGTCTCGTCGGTCTCTCCAGGGTGGGAGGCAACGCGCGGCGAGATCGTGGACGCGTTAGAGAGGCTGCGATGTCTCGGAGTTGCTCGTCGTAGGGCTGATGCTGCAGTAAGGGAGATCTCACACCGACAGCTGCAAATTGGAGATAAACTTATAAACAATTGTATACGGGTTTAAGTATAAAATGACGGTTATTACTTATTTTCATCCAGGGATGAAGTTTTTCTTTGAGTAACAGACGACGTAATCAGTATAAAATATAGTATAAATAAGTAGTAACAAAGTTCTTATTCAAATTAACTTAATATATGTATTTCTTATGAGTATTTTTTTTTTAATTCCACTTCCACACCACACATTCGTAATTCGCTGAATTGAAATGTAGTAATAGTAAGTTTCTGGATAGTTCTCCTCGTGATGAGATTGCGTTCCGAATAAATGGTATAATAAAAAAATAAGATTATTCAAAAGTGAATGAACTTAATATGAACTTAAGTTCATTTGAGTATAGTTTATTTCTATTGTATTCTATATTCACGTTAAATTTCGTTTAAATCCGTTCAGTCATTTTGATGTTGAATGGTAATATAGAAAGACTGACTATCGAACTTATGTCTTCATTAGTCCGTACTAACCAAACTCATCCACCCGTGTGGATGAGTTGTAAATATTCCTTTAATTTTTTACAACCGAGTAAATAACTTAGAAATTGTGTTGAATGAGTTCATATTAGCTAGAAGGTATGTAATACCTGTACTTAAACATATAATAATAATAGGCATCTGTCTATTGACAGAGTACACGTGGGTTGTATTGAGGAATAACTAATTGTTATGGAATGTATAAATTGCATTTATAATTTGTTCGATAACTTCAATGGCAGGTGGGAAGTGGGAGGTCGGTTTAGTGGGCGACGCCACTTCGAAACAGGAAAGTGTGTGAGCTTTATACTTGTTTGGGAATATCTTATACCTAGTATTATAGGTATTAGACTTTAACTGCGCCTTTCATTTCTATATAAACAAGCAGTTTTCTGTGTTTTTGTTTGATTTTTTGAGATAACGGATACCCTATGTACATTCCCATAGTATAATCTATCTTCAAGTGTTTGTGTAGTCGTAAGCAGGCAATAAATTCTATTTCAATTCACTGCACTGTAGGAATAGTATCAATTGATTTATTGACGTCAAAATGTAGTCTTGTATTAATTCAGAAGGAATATTGTAGTAAAATCTTCCATTATACTATAATCCAAGATATACCTTAAAATATACACTATATTGAAAATGTATTCAATGAATAGAAAATAAAATATAGAACGTGAAATAAAAATTAGAAAGGCGATCGAATAGAGGGAAAATATTGAACAGGTACAGGGGAAACATTAAAAAGCAACTTATATACAAGTAAATTAAAAACAAATTCATATGTTACATTTATTTTCAGTGACTTGTCGTTTAATTGTAAAGTAAATTAATATAGCTGTATTTAACAAGTGACATAACCAATTAATTAGATGCCATTGTTAATCTAATATTTCCATAGTAAATATGCATGTGCTCAATCAGTCACGGTGGCCATGTATTGTAGGTCGCAGATAGGGTTGCCAAGTTTTTTGCAAAATGTGCCACTTTTCCAGTCAAGGTTACTAAAACTAGGCAATATGTTTTAGTAATTTGCAAATAAATATGCAAGTACAAATATCCTAATAAAAACTTATTGTTAATGGGCAAATTTTGTTTAAATTTTGATATAGTAAAGAAATACTAATTATTTCTAGTTTTTGAACTACCGAATATTTTAAAAACGAATTAATGAAAAACTCTTTATTGTTCCTCTCACTCTCATATATGGTATTTAGATATTATGTTTACTGAGACAAACATTTTTTTAAATAGTGGAATAATAGAAAAGCTTGGTAATTCTATAAAATAATTAACCGCCCTGAAGCTAGGTGGAGCTACGACATACTTATGTAGAGTTGCGAGTAAAAATTGAAAGAGTCACTACTCTTTCAATTTTTACTTCACTACGTGCCATGGAAGAGACACTCCACTGGACCATGTCCAGCAGTGGGCTACAATGACCTGACGACGATAAGAAAATCATTACCTTCTTCAGTAGATGGAGTAGTGTTAGGTTCTGGCCACGTGTCCCGCCGTCTCGATCTCGCCTTCTCTTCCCCGTTGATTTTATCTCTGGTCGGCGGAGATGCTGATGATACAGGTTGGTCTGTGTATACTGGAATAGAAAATTTTCTTTTTGACATTTTTTTAACGATAACAGGTTAGTATAGGAAGAGGGGTTGGTATAATTAAATGTGGACGGTAGACTTTTAATACAATTTTGTTACTTATTTTTGGGCACAATTATTCCATTATGGCAACCCTTTAAAATAACTCTACTAAAGTCGAAAAATTTACAAATTAAAAAAAAAACCACATTGACGGGCACTTTTTTGTCACCATATACAATAAAAAAAAAATTATTGATATACTTTTTTGGTGACTATGTCAGTCTGTTGCACTCGACGGCTTCATCAATTGTCATGAAATTCGCATATAGAGTAGACTACATACTTTTATCGCGATCATTCGAACGAAATCGGGGCATAAACTACTAATATACAAAAGAGATAGAAAGTCCCGTATCCTAACGTCTTCATTTAGTTCTAAACCGTATATGTGATTTTGCAAATTTTTTGCTCTTACCACAGTGGGTGTGCCTCAGGGCGAATCTTATTAATAAAAGTCTAGTCAAATACTCGTTTTATTAAGCTGACCTATAGGATTGCGATCGCAAGACGATCAAATGACTGTATCGCATGTGCCAAGGTCGGCAGCGCAGATGAATGCGAACATGAACCCTTGTAGTAGATTATTTACGACGCAAGTTGTAGGGCGGCGCGGCGGTCCCGCCGTCAAACTATATAAATGAACCTACTTGTCATTATTTGAAATTGTATTGCATATTGGTCAGTTTTTAGGGATCCACCGGCTTTTTTTCGGATCCATAGACTACCCATTTGGGTAAAGGGTATTTACATTAGGGTAAAAACATCATTATCTGGCCGCAACTAGCTTTTACAGTTTCATCGGACGATAGTAGCCGAGTGGGCATGAGGGCAGGTGGCACTCCAAACCCGCGGAAGGACTTATAATGCGGGTGGAGACCAACTCCTACTGACAGAAACAATTTTAGTCTGAGGACGGGAGGAGGAGGATTCGATACGAACCCTGGCTCAAGCTGTCGTAATTTAGATCGCCGGGATATAAATCCACATTTAGTAGTGACTATAAATTTTTTCATCTCCTTCTTCCTTATCCCAGTCATTTGGGGTCGGTGTAATATGTTTTTCTCTTCCATTCATACCTGTTCGTAGGCATCTCGTTATTTAGTCCCTTTCTTGCCATATCGTCTTTCACACAGTTAATAAGTATAAATAAATGAAAAGGAATTGAAGGCGTAAAAATAATGAGAAAATTATAAATGTGTGAATTGTGTTATTGTGTTACTATCATTGAACCTTTCTTGTTATTGTATTTATTTGTAGTTCGGTACTGCTTCGTATAACGCATACGTGGGCAATACACCTTATATATATATATATATATATATATATATATATATATATATATATATATATGTCTTTATGTCCATTGTTTTATACAGAGAGAAATATTTTATTCAAAAATCATAATTTTTTTATTTTCTTTTACAAAATAATAATTACTAACATTACGATACAGTCACGTTCACAGTACGGAACCCGACTAATATACCTACGGTTTATCTTCACTCTTTTTATTTGTTAAATCGTCCACTTGCGTGCGAGTGGCATTAAGTTGAACTTAGTGTTGCGCGGTCGGTTACATACGAGTACTTACTATGTACTTACAATGTATTGGTAATTGACTCATCATAAAAAATATGCGTTCATCATAACTAGATTAAGTATACATAATATAGTAAGACGTCAGATTTGACTTAGGGTGTGTTTAAACCTGATCGAGGATTTGAGGGTTGGTTGATAGATATTTATTATATTTATGAAATAAAAATGTAATGTTGCGTTAATGTCTCTGTTAATTTTGAATTTTATTCTTTTTTAACTTTCTTTTTATTATGTTTTGCGGACATGGCAACGCACATGTTTGTAGGCTGCCAGTTACATTTACTTTTTATATAGTAATTATACTAGTTGATTTATCAGGGTTAATTTATTTATTATTTGGGATTATTACTGGTCATTATAAATATTACTATAATTTTATTATCATTAAGTTTTAGATTAGATACGTCTTCCATTTCGATTAGGTAACATTTTTATTTCTTGGAATAAAAAGAGATTTACCATCTTTCGGCATAATTTAAATATAAATCTTAATCACTACATATGAGTTAATATTTATACAAAAAAATACAAATGAAATATCTTTATTTTGCCTGAAAAGTGGTTTACAAAAAAAATTATAATTTATGTATCACACTTTTCACCAAAAATTTTTGGCATAAAATTAACAGTGTCCATTTATTATTATAAGAACATATTTCTCAGTTTCATTTTTATTTTCATCATTATTAAATTAAATTTAAATTTCTGGGCAAAGTATTCCGATTACCTACTTCATGAATTAAAGTACTCATCAACAGAGTAAAAACACTTATTGATCAGCCATCTTTTTAACTCTCTCTTGAACATATTTATCGGTAGTATTTTTATATCATCCCGCAACTTATTGTAAATTTTTATTGACATACAATAGGCATTTCTGCTATACAAGTTTGTAGTATTGTATGGGAGAATGAGATTATTTGGATTCCTTAAGTTAAAATTACAGTATTCATCTTTTTTCTAAATAATTTGATATGCATTCTTACAAATATGCACACTTCGTAGATATATTGACATGGAACAGTTAATACATTTAAATCTTTGTACAGTGGTCGGCAAGATATACGTATGTCAACATTACATATTGCTCTGATGCATTGTTTCTGAGCTATAAGGACCCGTTTAGCATGATATGAGTTGCCCCAAATCAAAATGCCATATCTCAAAATGGAACTTACGTAGCCGTGATATGCCTGTAAGCTTGTTTTTTTATTACTAATCCTTGTTAATCGCCAGAGAGCATAGGCAAATGAATTCATTTTATTGCATATTTTATTAGTGTGATTTTCCCAAGAGCATCTATCATCCAATACATACTATTGGTGTATGTATATACCCAAAAAAGTGATTTGCGAAGATTCTTTGATAGTGTTTCCAGCACAAGTTACGTTTAAAGACTGTTTAACTCTATTTTTGTTAATAAATTGTATATATGTAGTTTTATTGTAGTTTATATTCAAATTATTATTATGTAACCATTCTATAATTTTCGTAATTGTTCCGTTTATGTCATTATTATATGTTTTGTCGTTATTGCAAGGTATCACTACAGATACATCATCAGCAAACATAAGTCATACTCTGTGACATTTGGCAAGTCATTTATATAAAGCAGGAATAACAAGGGTCCTAAAATACTTCCTTGTGGAACACCGTTTGTATTTAGTCTAATGGTCGATTTATATTCATTAACTTCCAGGCTTGCGTCCATTTTTGATATCTCTACGTATTGTTTTCTATTACTTAAGTAACTACTTAGCCATTCACTTGCTAATCCTCTTATTCCATACATATCGCATTTATAAATTAATTTTTTATGTGATACAGTATCAAAGGCCTTACTCATATCAAAGAAGACAGCCGTGACATGATTGCGCTTATCCATATGTGATAGCACATTATTTATAAGAGAAAAAGCAGCTGATGTTGTCGATTTGCCTTTTCGAAAACCATTTTGAACCGATGTTATCAATTTAAATTTTTCTAAGAAATTTATTAATTGATTTAACATTGCTCTTTCAAATATCTTTGAAAAGTTGGGTAGAAGAGATATCGGTCTGTAATTATCCACATCAGAAATACTGTTTTTTATGAAGTGGTTTTACTATAGCCATTTTTAATGGTTCCGGGAAAGATCCAGTGCTAAATGACAGATTAATTAAATAGCTTAGCACAGGAGCAATTTCATTTTTACACATTTTTAGTACCTTTGTCTGTATTTCATCGTGGCCAGTCGAGTTTGTAGATTTAAGTGTGTTAATTATTTTAATAACTTCAAACTCATCTGTTGGTCTTAAAAACATGCTGGCATGGTTCGATTGTATATTTATAATATTATAATTACAATTTGAATTAAAATTTGCCATGTCAATATAATAATTATTAAATATGTTTGCAATGTCATTCGGATTATCAACTATCTCATCATTTATTAGAAGTCTGTCAATATTTCTATTAATAGGATTTCTTTGTGTTCTATTTTTATTAGATCCCATGTAGCTTTACAAGGATTTTTAGACTTTTCAAGGTACAATGTATTGGCCAGTTTTTGAGAATGTTTAATGCATTCTTTTAGTAAGTATTTTTGGTACTTTATCTTTACATTGTTATCTCTTTTTTTATAATAATAATATACACATAGTTCTTACTTTATTTCATTTCAGTATTATATGGAATAGTCTTTTTTTTATATTTTCACAGGAAAACAAATACTTATAGATTTCATGAATATTATTATGTTTGTCTCTTAATCATAAAAAGTAGAAGATAAGAACGCCAACCTTATATAATGGGAAGGCAAGCCAGTAATCATAAAAAGTAAAGTCATCACAAATCTATTTTAAACAACTTTCATTTAAATTAAAAACAGAAATTCGATTATGTAATGATATAATTCTATATTTATTCTTTATATAATATTTATGTTCTATATTTAAAAATAAACATATGAATTCTGGTCATAAAAAAAGATATTTTACATCTTTATAACATTTTGGTACATCCTGTACCACACACATAGACCACAGACAGTCAAGTAACGTAGATAATTTATATATTACACAAAGAAATGTATGAATAACACCTCTTCGACATTGATCACACTCCATACATTACGTAGGACCCCCACTCTGTCCCCAGGGCTCCGGGACCCGTGTCGAAGTGTCGCGTACGTCATAAATGTAAGATTTATTGGCGAAAAAATTGCGAAGTTCAATAAATATGAATGAGCAGCGTAGACGAGGCGGTGTAAATCAGCGACACCCACTGCGCGCGCGCATTGTGATGCAACTAGGGTTGCCACACGTTGGCAATAAACATGTTAATTATATTGCCATATTAATTTTAA